CGGCTGCGGCCACGTGGGGGGCGGGGGCGACGCCCGGGGCCGGCGGGCTGGAAGGGGGAGTCGCTGCCCCACCCGTCCCTGGCGCCCGCCGCTCCCTCCGCCTCGCCGCGGCTGGCCCACCCGATCTTCCAGCTCACCCTGCGGGGCTGGACAGCTCCCCTCTAGCCCCACCGCCGGGATCCATTTCCTGGGCTCGGCCCCGTGGCGCCCCAGACTCGCCGGGGTCTCCGAGCATCCGCTCTGGGGGCACCAGTCGCCCCTTCTCTCTGGTGGCGAGGTGGGGGTGGGGGCGAGCTGCTCTCCGAGACCTGGGGCGAGGGGTTGGGGGCTCAACGGGCTTCTCCGCGCCAGCATTTCAGAAGCCGGGAGGAGGGGGGTTGGGGCTGTCCGGGGCCGTGGGGGAAGGATCGTGCCTGGAGCTGGGCTCAGAGTTCCCTGGAAACACCCACTGATGTCAGTCCGCCAAAATCGGGGAGACAAAGAGAGAGCTGGCCCTCCGGAGCGGGGAGAAGGCCAGAAGGTAGAGAGGGAAACCAAAGTCCTAATGCCTTTCCTTCCAGGTCACCAACCTGACTCAGGAGGTGAAATAAGAGGACTGCATTCCCGGGAAGCCAACTCTTTCTGGACCAGCTGTAGAGAAGGGGGAGGTTTAGAAGCCCTCATGTGTGATTTCACTTATGAGTTGGGTGCATTATTGTGCTCATTTTACAGAGAAGCTAAAGCTCAGGGGAAGGCCCAGAACTGAAGTACAGAAGCCCTTAGTCCTCCTTCCACCTCCCCACCACCCAGCTGTAGAACCCGGAATGGCTTAAGTTATCGTCACAGATTCTCAGTTTCCCCCATCTGAAAAAGGGGTGCACCCTGTTCGGGGACCATAATGAGGATGCAGAGGAGAAATGTCATTGCAGTCAGCAGCTGCTATCCAGCTGCCTCCACTCCTTTTCTAAGGACTTGCCTGAAGTCACATTGCTAGGGGGCAGCAAGGCTGAGCCTGGGACCCCAGACGCCTGACATCTGCCACACCACAGCTGTCTCTGTGTGCTGGGCCAGAGCTTCATTAGCCTGAAGCAGCCAAGGAGCCCAGGAGCTAGTTTGGCCATGACATTGGACTCCAGACACAGCTGTCAGCACCAAACTTTCCTAAATTACTCCCAGACACTGGCCCTTGAATTCAGCTGCTGCTGTTGTCCCAGTTTACTGATTCCTGACCACCACAAATTATCTTTTGTGGTCTCTTTTCAAATCTTCATCTCAGAGTCTTAGCTTTGGAATCCTGGCCACTGATAATCTCTTGTTTTCTTTCATAGTTATAGTCAAGAGGTTGCTTTAGCAAGATATGCAGTGGGAGAAGGGAGGTGGTTCAATTGGCATGGACCCCAAAACTCTCCTGGTGAGAGTCATCTGCAATGTGCAGGAAGGAGCCAGGCAGCCTGGGAGCCACTTCAGGCCAGAGACCAGATCCTTTCCTTCCCTCCCACCCACTACTGCCCTTTCCAAGAAGGAAACATAGCCAAAGGGAGGTTTCTGGGGAATCAGATGTGAGGAGGAAGCAAAGAACAGCACCAGGCAAAACCAACCATGTCCCTTGGGTTGGAACCAGAAACACCAGAGCCCACTGTGGCCTAAGCCTGGGACTGAGTTCAAGATTAAAGTTGACAAATGCAAATGTTGGACTTACTCAGGGGACCGATGGATGAAAACCACAGATCATTGGTCAAGATTCTGCAGGTCATTCATTGAAGCTCAGTGTTTTCATACATAAAATGACCTTAAAATCTGTGGGGAAAACAGGTGACTTGGCAGAAAGTGCTAGTTGAGCCTAAAGCTGGGGTGAAATTTGCATCGTCTTGTGGAGATGTCTGAAAGAGAGCTGACTCTAGTCATTCTTGAAGCTCAGGGTCCAAATCCTACCATTGGAGAATGTTAGGAATTTTTTCTCCTCCCAATCTTCCTTTTCCCATTTTTCCTAACTTTTGGATGCTTGCATTGAACCCTGGGGCACCCTAGTAATTGGGAGTCTTCCATAGGGGTCCTTTGGGGGCACAACAGGACTGGAAACCTCACCTTCCCCCCTCAGAGAAGATGGGTCCTTGTTCGGCAGCAGTGGGACAGAGAAGGGCTTCACTCAGGTAGAGACAGACTTTTCCTTACTGTTCTCAACCCACTTTCCTTTATAACAGATCCTTTTTGCTATATGAATATACTTTTAGTGAAAATAAAGAATTTGGTTTTTTCTCCCTTATACCCAACTTTACTGCATTGATTAGGGTGGGTTAGTTTTTTTTTTTTTTAAAGATTTATTTATTTGTGTATACAGAACTGGGGTAGAGGCCAGAGGCCCAGGGGTGGCAAGAGGCCCCACCAGAGACAGAGCGGGGAACAGAACAGGCAGACCGACGAAGCACACTGCTGAGGGGAGCAGCGGGTGGGTCAGGAGAGGTCTGCCACGCCATGTGGTCACCTCCGGGGCAGGCAGGGATCGAACTCATGCGGAAGCGGCCCCAGATTCTCAGTGCTGTGCTTTAACCCACCGCGCCACCAGGGAGGGCCCTGGGTGGGTTAGTTTTTATAAGTATTCTTTTGTCAAATCATCCACTATGTAAATATACAACACTTAGCGTTCTCATGTTGACTTGCTTTACTACACATTATTCCCTTGAACTCCTTCTATTTTGCTGCAAATGGCAATATTTCATCTTTTAAGAACATACTTTTTTAATCATGCACCACATCCACATATTTTGGATTTTAAAAAAGCAGAAATAAGAAACAACTTCATTGTTTAGTGACTTCTCTTTTTACTTAACATGTCTTGGATGTCTTTCCATGATGCCACTTATAGAAGGACCTCTTTCCTTTTAACAGTAGTATAGTCTTCTGTTCTGTTGAGTGGATCTTTCTTTTCTTCTATCCAGTAGGATGTAGTCTTTAAGTCCTATCCTTCTGGACCCACTCCCATTTGGTGCTTGGGAAGAGAGGGATCTGATTCTGGTTCTGTTGAACCTCGACCTGAGATTTCTGGTCCCAACCTAGATTGACTTCTAGATTACTGCCATGCAAATTTGCCTTCTTATTACAGCCAAAGGCCATTCTGCACAGAGCAGGGAAAGAGATGACTCCATCCTTAGGAGGAATACCACTGCTAATTCTCAGCCTTTCCCCTACACACCCATACATTCGTACACACACACATTCAAGACAACACTGGGGAGAGTAGAGAGCACTGGATGCCAAGTACACACTGAAATTACATGCAAAGGACCCTCCCTGGTGGCACAATAAACTATGAAGCTATCCGCAGCCACTGCAGCATGAGTTCGATCCCTGGCCAGGGTGGTAACCTACATGGAACAGGAGACCACTCCTGTCCCACTTGCTGCTCCCCTCAGCAGTGAATGTCACTCTGCCTGTTCTGCTCCCCACTCTGTCTCTGATGAATCCTCTCACCCCCACCCTCCACCACACACACCTTTAGCCTGTATCCCAGTTTTTGTATGCATAAAGAAATAAATCTTTTTTTTTTTAAAGAAACCACACGAAGAACATTCTGGAATTAGCATCTATACAGTGCAGAGGTGCTTATGCATGCTGGCCTCTTCCCCAGATGTCTGCAAAGTCAAGGTCAGGGAAATCAGAAGTCCTGGTAGAGAGGGGCTGATCCTTCCAAGCTGGAGAGAGAAGACAGACTTCAGAAGACAGAGAGTTGGCAGAGAAAACCAGAAGAGCTGCAGTCAGGGAGCCAGCAACCACATGAGGGAAGGCAAAGGGGCAGGAACAGAGCTACTCCCTTGCTCCCTAACTTCCTCATCTACAGAATGATGACACTCTCAGTGTGAAGAGCACAGCCACTTCTCAGAGGGAAGAATAATTGGAGCAACTTTGGCTCTCACACTGGTAAAAATCTGACAAAATGGTAAACCACATTCTTGGTCAACTGCTGGGACAGTTACCAATAGCTACCATTTATTGAACAATTACTTCATACGGCACAGTGTATTCTCTGAATATGTGCTGAATGCTCAGAGCTTCCAGTCTTAGCACCATAACATCAGAATTATCTGTCTAACATCAGAATTATCTGTCATGGGTGAAATGGGGAAGCAGGAGGCATTGGCGCAAATTCCCAGTAATTGCGAGAGCCTTGAGCTATGATAGCTTGAGGCTAAGCTTCCTGTCTTATCCATTACATTATGATTTATCAGCTCCCTCTCACATCAGGTCCGAATACTGATTCCTTACTGGGTCTTAAGAGGGAGGGGTAGAGAGAGGGGTGCTCCCTGGTAGCCTAGGGATTAAGTCTCAATGCTAGCCCTGCTATGGCCTAAATTTGGTCCCTGGCCAGGGGGTTATCCACATGGCACAGAAGACCTCTTCTGTTCTCACTGCTGTTCCACTCAGCAGTGTATTTCAGTGAAATCTGTTCTGCTCCTCACTCTGTCTCTGGTGAATCCCCGCCCCCTGCTACCTCTGGCCTACACCACAGTTCTATGCAAAAAAAAAAAAAAAAAAGGGATTGAAAACTTCTCATGGGGCCACACTGGTCCCTCCAGAAATAGGAAGATACTACTTCAGCCAGCTACATGCATATAGTGTTCCCTCTTCTTCCCAGACCCTGGCCACACCATCATATCACATAATGGAAGCTGTTTTCTGGGAAAAAAAAAAAAAAAACTCAGAGCAGACAGTGTGACTGAAGAGGACCATGGCCAAGTGACCACAGCACACGCCCAGCAGTGCCGAGAACACTGCTGGTCCCTCGGCAACAGGGGTTGACTCATGGTTGCTGTCAGGCCCCCAGTGAAGGTGCCAGAACTACTTTCAGACTTCTCTTTGCTTAAGAATGTCCTGTGAAAACATGACCAGGAGCCCTTCAACCTTCCCCATACCTTGGGAGGCTGATGTTCTATTATATGGAGATGCCCTGAGAATGCCAGGCAATATGCTTGGTACCCATGCAGATTGTTTCATTTAAAACTCACATTTGGGACTCCGTGGTAGTACAGGGGCTTAAGTCTTAGCCCTATCAAGCTACCACCAGCCACTGTGGCCTGAGTTCAATCCCCGGCCAGGGAGGTAACCCACATGGTGCAGCAGACCTTTCCTGTCTCCCCACAGCAGTGTATTTCAGTAGATCCAATTTTTCTGCTCTCCACTGTCTCTGGTGGGTCCTCTCAACCCTCACATCTCTGGCCTGTACTTCAGCTCTTATATACATAAATAAATAAAAATAAACCTTTTTTAAAAAAACACAACTTTCTTATATTAGGTACCATAGCAACCCACATTACAGAGGAGGAAATGGGGGTTCAGAGAGATTAAATGACTTGTCTGATATCATGTAACTGATTTTGGCAGATGCTGAAGCATACGCACTTTTTTTAAAAAAGATTTATTTATGTATGCATACAGAACTGGGGTACAAGCCAGAGTGCAGGGGAGGTGAGAGGAGTCACCAGAGACAGTGGGGAGCAGAACAGGCTGACTGATGAAGTAAACTGCTGAGGGGAGCAGCGGGCAGGTCAGGAGAGGTGTGCGCGCCATATGGATCACCTCTGGGGCCGGGGAGGATCAAACTCATGCTGAAGTGGCCTTAGCTTCCCAGTGCTGTGATTTAACCTGCTGCACCATCGGGGAGGGCCCAGCACTTTTTTTTTTTTTTAAGATTTATTTATTTATGCATGCATACAAGAACTTGGGTGCAGGCCAGAAGTACAGGTGAAATGATTCATCAGAGACAGAGTGGTCAGCAGAACAGACAGATTGACTAAAATACACTGCTGAGATAGGAGAGGTCTGCTGCGCCATGTGGGTCAGCTGCCTGGTGAGGGATCGAACTTGTGCTACAGTGGCTTCACAGTGCTGTGTTTTAACCCGATGCCCCACCAGGGAGGGATTGAAGACTGAGAACTTTAACCTTTGCTCCACTTTCCTACTGATGGAGGAAGACTGGCCAGGAAAGCTCCCATACAGGCCTCTTCCTGGAGTGGAGGGACCCTAGCTCCACTCAGTGTAACCCTCTCCTGACCTCAGCTTCTCATAACATATCTTTTCAAATCCTTTCATCAAGGTCTTAATGCTTTAGATGGACAATGAAAAAAAGCCCATGTCATTATGAAATGAATCATTTTTAGATCATAATGAGAATCCAACATAAGTCAAACAAATATGACACCAGTAACATGTGTGATGTCTGTAATGTGAGCTGAAGTAATGCTACAGAAGGCAGTATTTTCTTCACCTGCAAAGTGAGGACAACAATAACAATAGCTGTAAGTTTTAAATGGCCTGTAGTCTATTTACTATTGTTATTTCTTTTTTGAAAAAGATTTATGTATTTATACATACAGAACTGGGTGTAGGCCAGAGGTGCAGGGGCAGTGAGAGGCTTCACCAGAGACAGAGTGGGGAGCAGAACAGGCAGATTGATGAGTACACTGCTGAGGGGAGCAGCAAGGAGCCAGGAGAGGTCTGCTGCATCCTGTGGGTCAGCTCCCTGGGGGGGGATCATACCTTCTCTGAAGCGGCTGCAACTAGCTTCCCAGTGCTGCCCTTCAACCCATTGTGTCACCAGGGAGGGCCCTACCAGCGTTATTTCCACTGCCTGAGTAGTTGGGAGTATGCACCTTGGGGTGGAGCAAAAACCTGAGCTTGAATCTAGCCATCTGTGGCTTTGTGAAATCAGATACCTCCTCTGACTTGCACTCTGACCTGCAAATGGGGCTCCCAGTGTGCGTCTCACTGAGCAGTGAGATGGTGCGTGTAGAGCAGTTGGCCATGGCCTGGCACTAGTAAGCACGGAGTAAATAGCAGCTACTCTCATAATGTGTAACACATCTAGTTATGACAACCTTACTTCCAAGATATTCTGGGATTCTTCCAGAGTCATAATTTTGTTCTCATTGCTCAATGTTCATTTTATTAAAAAGAAGACAGACTTTGGAGTGAGACAGAGATAGTCTGGATTTGAATTCCAGCTCCCCTACTTACCAGCCATAGACGCTGACCAGTGTTGTCAATCTCCCTGAGCCCCAATGTCCTATTCTGTAAAATGGGCATAACACTATATACCTCCATGGTATCTTGCAAAGAGTACAAGAGATGTAGATTCAAGAGGCCAATGTTAGCGATTCTGGGAACACTAAGGGCAATTTGTTAAATGTGTCAATAAATGTGATTTATTTTTGTTTCTTTATTTACCTTGTCATGGGTATAATCTAGAAAGGTTTGGATTGTCCTTGTCTTCTTCCAAAAGGGTCTCTGTAGTTGGGGGGTCCCCTCCTAACCACAAAGGGGTTCAAAGGGCCCTGGCATCAGCAGCGTGGGACCCTGAAGATAAGCCTGGGAAGCGAGAAGGGGAAGTCTCAGATCCAAGGGGAACTCCCCTTTCCTGTCTGGCTGGGATTTGTTTGCTTTCCACACAGGCTGCTCCCTGCTGATATGGGAGCCTGTCCAGTGTCCAGCTTTGATGGGCACCTCCAACACAGAGAACGTAATGGGCCCTTGCATTTCAGGGCTGTTTTCTCCTGGTCTTGAGGAGTAGTCCAAAATACATTGCTCTTTCTGGCACCAGGGATGAGAGCAGAAAACCATGGAAAGAATTCAGAATCATGAAGTCAGAGTTAGAAGACTTCAGAGAAAAGGAGGAGGTATAGTGAGTGGATGGTTTAAAACAGAGTTTTGGGATCAAAATGACAGGGCCAAACCCTGAACACACCACTTGCCAACTAGTTGACCCTGGGCAAGTTCCAGAATCTCCTGAAGCCCCAGTTTCCTTAGCTATAGCAGGAGGATAAGAATATTACTGACTTCATATGAAATGAGAGGATCCCATGTAAGGGGTTTAGCACAATTACAGGCACCTACTGAGTGATCCGTATTTGCAGACTGTCACATCTTTATACTTATGCAGTTTTACAGTTGAGGAAGCTGGTAGCCAGAAAGGAAGCACTGCTCATTAGCTGTCCCCCGACCCCCACCAAGGCTACTTCCCAGGCAGGGCCTGTGCCAAAGGCTTGTCCTGTGGAATCAAGCCCTGAATTAACTGTGCTAAGAGAGCTGGAACTGACAGCACTACCCTAACTCTGGGGTTGGAGTTTTCAGAGAACGTGCAACGAAAGGCATGAATCCCACCTAAATCGTTCCTAAAGAAGAAAGTCCCTTCCTGCTGGAATTACTTAGTTTGTAATTAACAAAGGTTAGGGAGGCCCTTTCTAAGACTTTGGCTCTGCTGCTCAGAGCTTAAGCTTTAAACAGCCACAAACAAGGGTGTATTGTGGGCGTGTTCTTACTTGCTGAATTGAATTCATTATTGTGATCTCTATGCTACCGGGGTCAGGAGCTAAGTACCTGGGGCAGAAAGCTGGGTTTTGATCAGAGGACACAGTGTCCTGGAGTGGAAAGGCTTCTAACACTGAGCCATATTTCCAGGCTCAGTAACGTGGAGACTGACCTCAACTTGCTTGGAGCTGGCTTCCCTCTAAGTGTTCTGGGAGGGGTCTGGCACTTCAGCCGGCCCCACCAAGGCCTGGGCAGCAGCCCCAGTTTCTGGTGACCTTCATGCAGACTTTTAGGTTGTGCCTCTTTTTGTTTTTTGTTTGCTTCTCGACAGTGGGATGGCCTTTCCCTGCTTCTGGGTGGGATCTAGTGAGGGTGGGAGGATGGTTTGCTCCCATCTCTGCAGCTGTGTTTATACTTCCCCATCAGGGACTGTCTGGGGCCCAACCTTTCCTCAGTTCTCTGTGTCTCTGTGTATTTGATATCCTTGAGGGCCTTATAAGGGATGGGCAGAAGGAGCCAAGGGCTTGCCAATCTAAAGGGAACAAGAAGGGAGCAGGGAAGGGTGCAGAGAGCTCTGGATTCTGGGAAGAATCATCTTCCTTTTTTGACAGTGGCTGAAGATCATCAAGGAACAAACATACACTGAGAACTTGCTTGTTTCAGAAAAACTGGAACACGTGACATGTATTTCTAATCACTGGGTTGAACAAAATGTCACTTTGTGATGGGGGTGGAGTACACAGGGCAGAACACTCTTACCTATGACCTCCCTGGGCCCAGGTCAGACATGCAGCATGCTAAGACCCATGCAAGTTAAAAAGGATTTAACAAAATGGTCAAGGAAATAATCTCTTCTCCTCTAGGGAGCGAGTTGAGCTGGCATTAATCAGTGTACTAGTGTTGCCGGACTTTGAGCCAAAGTCACAGGGATGGCTGCCAAGCAAATCAGGCATCAGGTTTCAGAAATTAAACACATAATTTTATTTTATTTTATTTTATTTTGCAACAGGGAGCTTTCAGAAAAAGAACCACTCCTATTAGACTACTCAGCACACTTTGTCCAGTTGCTTTCAGCCCCAGAGGCCTCCAGTTTAAGATGAGCAACTAGATGCCAGGAGTGACAGTTATTCCTTTCTCCTAGTAACTGCCAGGAGGTAGGGCTGGAGGGAGTGGGGCAGGGGTGATGGTACAGTTTATCAAAGGACCAGTTGTTGACCCTTGCCAAAAGATTTTCTATGAATTTATAGGACAAAGACCTGAAGGATTGGGAAAGAAAAAGTTCGAGAGAAGGGCTGGCCAAGCAGAGTTGGCTGATAGTGCCTCATGGACCATGGTCAGCTAATAAAGAGATGGCTTTTGGGAAAACTCTTTCCCATCACCAAGAGGAGGAACTGATTGGAAAACACGTTGTTCCCAAGAGCCTTATGCTTATTGGTGAGGTAGAAATTTGTTTTTATAACTTTCCAGTGCGAAAGGATAATTAGACCCAGCTTAGTCCTATGCCAAGCCTAGTGTGGATGTGAAAGAAGTGTCCAGCTCGGTGCTGAGTGACCTGGAGTGAACACAGGGAGGTCCAGGAGGTCTGGAAGACTTAATGAGGCTGTGGAGCTTGAGCTGGTCTCAGCTCTGATCTATAACAAACTCTAACCTAGCTTTGCTGTAAGTCTCACCTTCCTTCTTTTTTTTTTTTTAAAAAAAAGATTTATTTTATTTTATTTATTTATGTATACAAGAGCTGGGGTGTAGGCCAGAGGTGTGTGTGGGGGTAAGAGGATTCACTGGAGAGAGTGGGGAGCAGAACAGGTATATATGAAATACACTGCTGAAAGGAGCAGTGATGGAGTTGGGAGAGGTCTGCTGTGCCACCGGGGTCAGCTCCCTGGCCGGGAATTGAACTTGTGCTGCATTGGCTGCAGATAGTTTCATAGTGCTGACACTTAACCCCTTGTGCCACCAGGGAAGCCCCCTATTTCTGTAATCATATTTTCTCTGTTGTCACATTTCTTTATATCTCTCTTCTTGTCACTTGACTCTCCTAAAGAAATATAGTGCCACCTCTGTGGTAGTAGATACTATCAATACTCTTGTGGTATTAGTTACTACAGATATGTCAACAATTCCCAAATCTCCAGTCTCAGTTCTGACAGTCATATCTCTTGAATCTCTTTCCTTAGATCACTCAATCTATTTTTTTTAAACCCATCATCCACCTCCATCTTTTAAAACCTACTTTCTCTATTTCAGTAGTTCTCTATGTAGTGTGATGATTCTCAAATTTGGTCACACAGTGTAAGGACTTGGGGAAACTTTTAAGAATCTTCAAGCAAAGACTATAACCTTACACTCCAGAACAATAAAATCATACTTACTGGAAGTGTGAGTCAGATATCATTAGTTGTTAAAGCTCCCCAGGTAATTTCAAAATGAGTCAGGTTGGAGTTACTGAATAGAGGGCAGCAGGAAAGGAAAGGAACATCATTGAAAACTGCCAAGTTAGAAGGACTATTTGTCTTGATTTGGTAGTTATTGATAGAGGCAAGAGGAAAAACATCAAATTCAGAGGTTCTTGTGTAAGGAAGAGGGAACCAAATCTGGAATCTGGAGACCTGAATTTAAAACCTGATAGAACACATTTTCACCTGTGTTGGACATCCTTCTGACTTCTTTCTACCAGAATACCCTCGTGTATAAAATTCAAATCTTTCTTACTTACTTAATAAAGTTGTTAAGAAGGTTAACTTTAATAAAATGAACAATATAGGCTTTTGTAATTATACACTTTGAAACAAATTTACCATACTTTTATTATTCTGTATTTTAACTTTTTATCTCTGTATTTGAAATAATTTCAGATTTATAAAAGACTTGCCAATGGCAGAATTTTTGTTTACTTTTCAGCCAACTTCCTAAAATGTTGAGAAAATGTAATTCCCAAATCTGGAAATTAAGAATGATAAAATACTATTAACTAACCTACAGGCTTATTCAAATTTCCACCTATTATCTTTTTTTCCTGAACCAGGATTCAGTGCAAGATCACACATTACTTAGTTGTCACATTTCCTCATGAACTGACACAGTTCATCTTTTCTTTGTCCTTCACAACCTTGACATTTTTAAAGATACAGGCCAGTTATTTTGTAGATTGTCCCTTATTTTGGAATGTCTGACGCTTCCTCAGGACTAAATTTAGTGTTCCAATTTAGTATTTCCGAATACTAGAGACATGATTTTGGTCTCATTGCATCACATTGAGAGGTATCTAATAGAATATCTCTCATAACTAGTGATGTTTTAACTTGGATCGCTTGGTTAAAGTGATGTCAGATTTTTCCCTGGAAAGTTGCAATGTTTCCCTTTGTAACATAGGTATCTTGTGAAGAGATACTTTGATACATGGCTACTAATGTGAGTCTACGTGATTGGGCAAACCATGGGGAATCCAGGTGTAAATAAGATGAGTGAGACTGGTGTTTGGGCATTAGCAGGTATGAGGGATATGACTTCAGAGTCAAGTGAGATTTGGCTTGTCACAAGCCCGTGGAGATGGTGCAAGAGCTGGATAAGGTCCTCAGGAAGACAGCAGAGGCTCCCAAAGGTATTCTTTCCTGTCTCCTTACAGCGCTGCCTTGGAGCCGTCAGACTTCTGAAATGGGGTGCACAGGTATCTAACCACAGACGAGCGGAGGAGGATGCCCAGGTGACCCGAGCCGCCGGCGCGGACGGCCGCAATGCGCAGGCGCCGGCAGGAGGCGCTGGGCGTGGCTGCGCGCGGGGGCGTGGCCGCAGCGCGCAGGCGTGCTAGTGTCGAGTCCCTGCGGCTCGGGATGGAGGGTGAGTGAGTAAACAAGCCCGGGCCGGGCGGTGGGGCCGGCCTCGGCACCGCGCCACTCGGGCTTGAGGGAGGGAGAGGCGAAGGGATCGGAGGATTGGGAGGGGGCGGAGGGGTACACTGCTAGCCCTGCGGGGGCAACGGGACACCCCGTCCCGCTTCGGAGGACTGGGAAAAGGGGTGACCCGGCAAGAGAACCCCCGCTTGGACCGCGTTTGGGACCCGGAAGGCTGTGTGTCCGGGAGGGGGCGCGGCGGGGGCGGGCCCGGACCGGGGAATCCCGTTGGAGGGCGGGGTGGGCCGGTGGGCGGGAGCCCCAGCCCGGGGCGCGCGGTGGGCGGTGGCACCTGCGGGGGCCTGAGTGAAGTGGATTCCCGGGGACCCGGGGCTGTGCGCGGGGAGGGCCCGACCTGGAGGCTCAGTTTGCGATGACTTTGGGGCGTGTTGAGAAAGGGGTCACAGTGCCGGGACGAGGGTAAGGCGAGTGAGGCTCCGAAGGCGCAAAATGTTAGGGGGCTCTCTCGGGGTCGTACGGTGTGCCGACTGGGCGCCTGGTCCTCGCACCCGGGTCCCGGCACTAAGAGGTTTGTCTCCAAATTCGGTCTCGCGCCAGCTCCTGCGCACCCCAGAATTTCCCCGAGGAACAAATGATGTGAAAGAAAGCGCCTTGAAGCAAGGCAAGGCGTATCAGGGAGATGTCTCTTAGGAAATATGGGACAAACTTGTTTCGGTAATAAGTGACTGCTGAGAAATTGTTTCCGGGGTGGGGAAGGGAAGGGTGTGGAAGGATGTTCGTGCCGCGGGTGGATCGCTGAGAGTGGGCTTTTGTCGGATCTAATGTAGGCTTGTAAGTGGGGTAGCCTAGGTGGGGAGTTTAGACGGCGCAGGGGTGATGGTGAGGGTGAGGGAAAAGAGCTCTCGGGGTGTGCAAGGGCGGCATTGAACGTGTGAGTCTTCCTCAACGTTTGCTGCCATGATGTCTTTGAAGAGAAAAATCCTTCCTACCTACTGGCCCGGTACTTTTAAGTTTAGTAAAGCAGCATTGAATGAAATTTTTAACTTGAGAAAGTGTGAAATCTATCAGAGGTGGCTGTGAGAGCTTGTCTATTTTAAGCATCGGAATTCCCGGGTCTGGGATGGCATGGCATTGATAAAAAAGATCACTTAGCTTACATCGAAGATAGTGTGTATTAGGAGATAAGGTGTTTTCTTTTTCTTTTAAACACATTTACAGTAATTAATAAAAATCTAGCGATACTTTTGAAGTTTTATGCTCAGTGTGAATGAATGAACTCTTCCCAGATCAAGGTGTTTGTTTCATTCACTGATGTATTCTACGCACATAAATCAGTGCCAGGCACACAGTAGGTGTTTTAATACTTGCTTATGCAATAAACAAATAATGGGAAGATCTCTGGGCGTGGGGAGAGCTAGATCCCAGTCCAGACACTAATTGGCAGAGCACTTATAGATCAGTCATGGTAAGACACAGTTTTAAGACTCTAGGGGCACAAATGATCTCTTCATCATGGTGTTATTTCTGTGTTTGTTTGTTTGTTTTTTAACAGTACAAATTAAGGAGACTGGGATTTAAAAAATGAAAATTTGTTCCCTGGAAGAGTTTTGTGATAAGTAAAGGGTAAGAAAATGTAGTTGAGCTCATTCTCATGTTTTACTTGCTATTGAATTAGCATGCCTTAAAAAAAAACCTATTTAAAAATATTTTGTCCGTTTAATTCTCCAGATGGGAAATTTAGCTTCCTAAATCTGTGAGTTACAGTTCTTGTCCTCGATCTGTGCCTTACATGAAGCATGCAACAATTTATTACATTGTTTATCTTTTTCCTATGTTGGACTGTTTTTAAAAGTTTCTACCTTGTTAACTAGCAACTTTAAAAAAAGTTTCAGATAGCAACACTAAAAACACATCACATTTTTACATAGGATACTTTAAAGTGGAAAAAAGAAAAGGAAGCTAATTATACCAGGCAGGTAGGGGTGGAAGGGGCAGAGTTAAAAGGAAAGCCTATTCTTCAGAGAGCCCATCCTAGTAAGTCCCCAGCTTAAAAAAATAAATTTGTCAGTAGTGTGTATTGGGCTCCTTCCTGATGATTTTAGTCTACTAGTCTGCTGTCAGTGGAACTTCCTTTTAAAGTTGTGAATCACTTAATGGGTAGTTGGATTTCAATGTCTCTAACACATTTGCTTTAATACTTTGAGACAAAACAGAATAACTAAAAAAGTCTTGCTTTTATTGAATGATAGAGAACACTCACTAAATATTAAGCTTTTTTGCTAGCATAGCAGAGGACCAGCCAAGGTCAGATTCCAGCCTATTAGGGAATTGCTTTAACGTCCCTGAATCAGCATTGTTCACCCTAAGAGCCAGCATTTCCTTGGCATCTCATTGGAAACTAATTCTGCTTTGACTTCTGTTACCATTGTCTCTAGTGCAAATGACTTGATTCTCCAAGTAAGGCAGGGCTAGTACACATCTATTTTATTTTATTTTTAAAGATTTATTTATGCATACAAGAACGGGGTACAGGCCAGAGATTCGGGAGGGTGAGAGGATTCACCAGAGACAGAGTGGGGAGCAAAATAGGCAGATGGACTGAAATACATTGCTGAGGGGAGCAGCAGGCAGGTCAGGAGAGGTCTGCTGCGCCATGTGGGTCACCTCCCTGCCAGGGATCGAACTGGTGCTTGTCTCGGCTGCAGATAGCTTCCTAGAGCTGTGCTTTAACCTGTTGTACCTCCAGGGAGGGCCCCACATTAATTTTATTTTGAATAAAATAAATAATTTAAATAGAAAAAATCATTTTAGGTAACAATTCAGGCTCACAGCTTCCCATTAGTAAGGTTCTTTCTTGTGTTTAGTGCCCTGAAGCCCAACTAGTCGATGTAACTACCTTGGAGAAGTAGGAGGGTATAAATTAAAGATGTGCTTTCATAGGTCCTAGTTGAAGGATCTATCAGGCTGTTGATGAAGGTCATCATCATTTTATTGTCTGTTTACTAGAGCTCTTTGCAGAGGTAGGTTTGCTCCTATCTACTGTTCATATTTCAGCTCCATCATGAACTGGAAAAGAATGAGATGGAAAAATTTTAAAATCTGTTGTGCTGCAACAGCCTTACATAACCTGTTGGTTTATAAAATAATTTGTTATAAAAGAGAAAATCATAAAGGCATTAAGGTTGCCCCTAAGACAAACTATTTCCACAAAGGACCACCTTTATACAAATAAAAGAACTTAACAGTTTGGAACTTTTATATTTTCATCTTTCTAAATTTAAGAATATTGTTCCTTAAATGTTTTATCTCCAAACAATTTTAGTAATGTTTTCCCATTTCCAGCTAGTGTCTGACTACATTCTTTAAAGAAATTGGAGATAGATTTCCTGTGGAAAGAGTTCTATATTTTTATAGTATGCTTTTCCTGTAGAAGTTCAACACATAAAGCAGTTCTTATTTCCAATTACACATTAAAATTTTTAATTAAAAAATAAACTTAGAGAACATTTTCTGATTTACAAAAAAATTATAAAGATAGTACAGGGAGTTCCTATAAACCCCTGTCCAGTTTCCCCTGTTATTAATATATTAGTATATAGGTAACATTTTTATAGCTAATGAGCCAATATTGATTATTCTGCTAGTCATATTCATTCTGAAGTGACTTAAAAAAGTATTTTTCCCAAAAGTGTAATTGCCTCTGTATTTTTAATAGTAAAGTCTCTAGAAAATATATGATCTATCATCATGAAGACTTTCTTCCTTAATCAGTTTTACTGAGTTCAATTTACATACAGTAAATTCACCGTTTTATATATTGTTGAGTGAGTTTTCATTATAGCACCTGGTTGCATAACCATCCCCACAGCCAAGATATAGAACAATTTAATCATCTCAAAAGATTCCGTTTGTGCTCCTTCTCGTTTATTCCCTTCTCCCACCCCAGGCCTGGCAACCACTGATGTGCTGCCTGGCCCTGTTCGTGTGCCTTTTCTAGACTTGCGCTAGGAGAGTGTTCTGTAAAAGGAACAAAACAATAGGCAGTTTTCAGTGTCTGGTTTCTTCCACATGGCGTATTTCTGAGAGATGTTTTGCATGTGTAGAAACTATTCATTTTTATTGTTGAGCAGCATTCCACTGGTGCATGTGTGTGTGTGTGTATAATATGTACACACACTCACATGCACTATAAAACTTTGTATCCTTTCACAAATCTGTAGATATTTGTACCTTTTCTACTTTTCGGCTATTCTCAATATAGATGTTGCCGACAATCCTTGCGTACAGGTTTTTGTGGGAATGTGTATTTCCATTTTTCTTGGATAAATAATTAGTAATTAAGTGCCAGGTTGTATGGTAAGTATTTTAAAGACTGACAAACTTTTCCATACTGGCTGTACTATTTTGCATTCCCATCAGCAATATATGAGGATCTTAGTTGCTCTACACCCTGTTTGATTTTTACCATCCTAGTGAGTATGTAGGAGTATATTGTTGTGATTTCAATTTGCTCTTCTCTAATGACTAATGATATTGGGCATCTTTTTATGTGCTTGTCATTCTGATATCCTTTTTAGTGACGTAATCTGGTCAAAATTTTATCCATTTTAACCAGGTTGTTCATCTTATTATTGAGTGATTAGAATTACATAAAGATGTATATTTTCCAATTATTGACCAAAACAGCATGTTTTAGAGTATATTTTCAATGTATAAATGGGTCCAATGAAAAATGATTAGGTAGTAACTTGGTACTAAGCTGGATATAAATGCTATTTTGTATGTGTAAAATCTAAAGAACAGATATAGTAGAAATATCTATTTTGTGTGTGCAACTTACTTTTTGCCCAAGGTGTTTGAATCCTTTTCTCCAATGTTGTTCTAGTAAATACAACATTTTTTGTTTGTTTGCATTAAAATAAAAATCTTTGCAGTGAGAATTATTGGTTAGCATTCAGATGCTGTGAAAACCCATTTAATGGCTGTGTTTCAGGTGTTTGAGTCATACCTGTCTGTTCCAAACAGTATGTCTTGTCTTCCTCATACACTCTGGGAGCTGACCAGCTGCCAAATAAAATTTCAGAGACATTGCAGACTTATTAAAAAGCCAAGCAAAATAAATATTAGCTCATGGTCACATGAGGTTCAAATACCACTTTAATTGTAAAAGGAGGAAGTGTGACTTATTTTATATTGTGGCTTAATGGTTAAAAATCAATGGCATTTATGTATACATGTATAGTCTCCTGGGAAATAAAGAACTTGCGTAAAATTAGAAATGGTGCCATTAATTGTTGGACTGTTGTGATGTGTTTACTGTCATTTTTGATAAGACTATAGGAGATCATATTTCAGTGATACCCTTTCTCCAATAAAAATACTGATATTTTTCTGTGGCTGTCTCCTTTAAGAACACACACACACACACACACACACACACAGTAGCTGTGGATTGTGTTCTTTTCCATTACTTGATCTCGAGTTTTAAATGGATGGATTGACTGTCTCTAAGCAGACTATTTCAAGAAGGGAAATTTATTTCTGAAAGGAGTGGGAGAGAGATTATAGTCCAAAGTCTTCTTTTATGGTGTCTCATTGAGTTACAGTCTTTAACATTTGGGCCATTGCGTCTCTGTAAAGGTAACCTAAGGTTTCTGAGACAGGCAATTTTGTCCTGAATTTGAACCACAAATTCAGCAGGCTATTACTAAGCCTGTGCAAGACAGAAATTATATGATCAACTACTTCATACTGCATGCAAGTGTGGTGTACTTAATTTTAATCATTCACATGAAGTCTTTCCTTTGGCTCCACTCCATAGAGGAATGAGAATTATTTAAAGATGGAGGAGGAAGAGAGAGTATACTCTAGAGGAAAGAAATTCAGGTCTGCTGAATTTTGTTTTCAACTCAACATCTTAGCACTCTGATTTCAGACTCTTAGATCGTGTTGTTTCATCCCCTTTCCTTGGAGAGATAAGGTAACTAACAGGGATTTCTGTTTTTAAAGGTTTGAATCACTTCATTGAGTTACCAGTAGGCACAGTTAGGCTGTCTACTCCTTTGCTCTTCCTCCCTTCCTTTCTTTGTCCTCTAAATTTAACTTAGCTTTCTACTCAGCCATTGGTTCTTCAAATGACGTGTTCAGCTGTAATCATCCTGAAGTCCATGAGTGTGAGATGTGATCACTATCTGAGTGTGGTACATGTGGGTTAAGTTATGCTGCTTTCCTCTGTGCTGTTCTTATCCAGGCATGGGGGAGGAAAAGAAATAATTAAAAATGCTTCTTTAGAAGAAATTGGATATTAAGCTTCAAAATAAAAAAACTTTTTCAGAAATTTTAAAAAAAAGTCTGAAACTTTGGCTTCTGTTTGAAATTTTCAGCCTTTACTGCTCCTTGTAATATTTTCAGAAATGTAAAATGTTAAATGAAATGAATAGACCTAGTTCTTTAGGAAACCTGGGTAGTTAACAGAGTAAACACAGTCTTGTAGATATTACTGAATTTTTACATGTGTTGAATGTTTGTTCTTTCTCTAAAAGAATTGGTTATCTGATTCTGGACCTAGAAATTGCTTCAGGATAGCACTATGGCCTTAGTGATAATAGGACTAAACTTGTACACATGACTGAAGGATAGAATTTAATAAAATTAAGGACTCTTTCCAAATGGCATCAAGTACTGGGACCTGACTTGCTTGCAGAAATAGCGGTGCAGAGACCTGGAAGTCTTTGTAGATCAGGAAGCATCCCACTGAGAGTATATGTTCCACTGACTTAGTAAAACCGCTGTCTATTTTCTTTGAGAAGCTGAATATTTGTTTTGCCTTTGTGTCTTGCTATTCCTCTGAAGAACAGAAGGCACATCTTAAAACCCGACACTTCCCCTGCATTCCATGAGGTAGGTAGAGCTTATTACAGTAAGTACTTCTTAAAATTTTGAACCTTAATTCATATGCAAAAACAAACAAAAAAGCTGTTCGCAGTGTGAACATATTTTCTTTTGTCTTGTTGCTAACTTGGAGATTAGACTATGTTGTTGTCATATCCAACTTTTATTATTAGTCATATGCTAGATAAAGTAAATTTGGCAGGTATCATTTGTAGTGTGGGTGGATCTTTCCATGAAGCTTAGTGATTTAACTTGATTCTTGCTGAACATTTCTCCTAATTAAGGTAGCAAATAGGTTTCCTAATTTCCACATAATCCAGGTCCTAATCCTTGTGAGAGAGCTCCTTGATGCTAAGGTAAAAACGAGGTCCCACAGAAAGAAGGAGGCTAAGCTTTTTGATAATCAAATGGTGCTGCTGTGGAATCTTTTCTTAATTAATCCTTTGTAGGCTTGAGTTTTTTAAACTTATACTTTTATGAATAAATGTAATGGGAATGAAAGCATAATTGCCCATGTTGATTTGAGTTTTAGAAATGTTTTATTTCCAGGCAATAAAATGGTATTTCTCATCTCTTTCTCTCTTAGAATATAGCAAAATGGACATACCAAATCCTCCTACTTCCAAATGTATCACTTATTGGAAAAGAAAAGTTAAATCTGAGTACATGCGACTTCGACAACTTAAACGGCTTCAGGCAAATATGGGTGCAAAGGTACAAAAAAATTGCAAGCATCTATATTTTAATATGTTGGAGGAGTTGGATTTATTTTTAGCTCTTCTCTTAAAAACCTACTGATTTTTAATTTGGCTTTGCCAGGCTCTATATGTAGCAAACTTTGCGAAGGTTCAAGAAAAAACGCAGATCCTCAATGAAGAATGGAAGAAGCTTCGTGTCCAGCCTGTCCAGTTGATGAAGCCTGTGAGTGGGCATCCTTTTCTCAAAAAGGTACTTCCAGGTGTCTAAGCTCAGCTTTCTTCTCTTGCTTGGGCTTAAGTGGCTTTTTCTTTCTTCCTATATTTGTGACATACTAGAAAATAAATAAGGATAACGTATATAACTGCCATAGTCAACATTTAATACAATGGTGCAGATCTGTAGCTTAAGACATCTACTTCCCTAAGCTCTGCGCTCCAAGGCACTTTTTTTCCCCCCCACACTAAGACGCTTTGATACTAGAAAACAAATGCTATAGACAATGGACAGAAATATATTGATCAAAGGGATATCCCTTACTGTGAACTTAAAAAACATTGTTTCTTAAAGAGATAATGTTTTTAAAATATAAAAAGCAGATGGTATATCAAATTTCTTTCCCAAAGCAGAAAGTGACTATAGTTTCTATATAATTCTATATAATCCCATGTACTGTCCACATCACCTGCTGGGAGTTATGGCTCCCAGCTGTATCTTCTTCAGCTGTATCTTCTTTCCTGGGATTTTCAGGGGCCTTTGTGTTTTTTTTTTTAATAGTTTTGAATAGTTTTGAATAAAACTAAACAGTTGAGCATGGGAGGCATGATAGTGGACTAGATAGAGGATACTAAAGAGACCTGCTTTCTATAGGCTTAGAGTTGGGTGATTCATTTTAGGGGTAATTGATTTGTTTATTGATTTGTGAGAATTAGAAGGCTACTGGGATCATTTTGAAAGGAAACCAGTTTTTCTCTTGGGCTGTGTGTCTGCTTTCCCTGCTTATGTCATCACTTACATTCCAGTGTGCCATAGAGAGCATTTTCCCAGGATTCGCAAGTCAGCATATGTTGATGAGGTCTCTGAACACAGTGGCACTGGTTCCCATCATGTACTCCTGGTCCCCTCTCCAGCAGAACTTTATGGTATGTATCGAAATCCTGTGTATTTAACCTGTGCTTGATTAAGCTGTCTGATTCTCTGATACTGCTATGCCAACTCTCCTCTTAGGGTATTTGTGGTCAGAGTATATGCAATAAAGTGTGGACATGCAGGTGGTTTTTTTGCAATTAGTTCTCTCTCTCTTAACTTACGTACTTATATGTTATGTATATATGTCTGCTAAGTTTTCCTAACTTGTTAAATTGTGTGCTCTCAGTTTACTTCTGAGCTGATGTTGGTTTATTTTTAAATGAATGAGACTGGGAAAAATTACAATTTTTCCTTAACTACCGTGGCCCAATTTTGTATCATTATGTACAGTTAATGCTCTTCTAAATAAGATATTTGAGGCTTAAGCAGGTCGACAGCTCCCTGGTGATGAGGAATCCTTTCCAAATCCCTAAAGACAAGATGCTGTGAGAACAACTGAGATAACAGAGGCCCCTGTGGATTCACAGTCCTTCCATCTGGGCCTTTAAGCTGACTGGGATTATTTATGGTTCTGATAATCGCTTCCCTGATAATCATCTGTTTGGTGACAGAAGTTTGGCTGACTGGATTAGGATATAGATCTTCAAATCTTCAAAAAGGGATCATTTCTTAGGAGAAAACATCAGAGTAATTTTACTTGACATTTGGGGATTTAAGATGACTGTTCCCTACTGAACACAAACAAAAAACAAACTAAACCCATCAAGCTGATTGTGTATTATTTATTGCCAGACAATAAATATTCATGGCCTCTGTTGCAGCTCACTTTAGGTTCCCATTGAGTGTGATTAACATGAAATTAGCCTATATAAATAGAATATCCAAAGTTTTTTTATGATTGCCCAGTTTCTGTTTCAGTTATAGTACAATTAGAATCCTTTCTTTTCATTTATCTATCTCTCTACCTAGGAAGAGAATTAGAATTGGAGCCTTAAACTGTTGTTTAGGTGATATTTGTACCTATTTCACAATTTTATTTGGTGGATAAAATGAGATCATAGATGGAAGCACTGTGAGAGATAACTGTACTGCCTAATTCTAATTCTGGTGTTGGTGGATATCATTGTCAGTTTAAAGCTAAACATCTGATGGTTAATAGCCTCAAGTAGTTAGGGTGCTCCCCTTCCCTGCCCCCAAGATTAGCTTTGTTCCCTTATAATTGAGGGGAGAAAAAATGACCCATCTTTAAAATGCAGAAAATTCTGTGACCAAAGCCATTTTCAAGAGAGTCAAACAGCAAAAGAGGCTTAGCAAAGACTCCATTAAACTGAAAAGCAGAGATGCTGAATGGATTCATGGAATGAAAAGCATCTCTTTTGTTTTCAGGTGGAAGATGAGACAGTTTTGTGCAATATTCCCTACATGGGGGATGAGGTGAAAGAAGAAGATGAGACTTTCATTGAAGAGCTGATCAATAACTATGATGGGAAAGTCCATGGTGAAGAAGGTAGTGGCACTGAGCTCTCTGGGGTGAAGCCGATAGTGTGGGCGACCTTCTTTGGTACATCATCTTGCTTTTTACCTGCTGCCTCACAGGGGACACACAAGAATATTTGTTGTCATCACATGACTGGGAATAGAAAAACTTTTGTTTCCCATTAAAAATTTAGTGGGAGTTCCTGGGATGGTGGTTACCACCTTCCAAACTTGAGGAAGGAACCAACACTGTAGGAAGAAGGCACTGAGAGATCACCCTGGCCGACAGCCCTGGCACACAAGGAAAAGGAAAGCCATTCCTTCTATCCACAGGTTGGGAGGACAGGTGCAGTGGAGACTATAACTTGATACTGGGGCTGGGGTGAGGTTGTGTTGAGACCCTATGCTGACTCCTCATAAACAAGGGAGAGTTCTTGGTCACCAGGCTCATTTCTTACCTCTGATAACACTGACACTCACCTGGATAAAGCTTCCATCCTGTAGGCTAAGCACACCCCTTGTCTCTCGCTGTCAGCAGTGAGAGACAAGATGTTGTGATTTGGTGACCTTCTTGCGAGATGTTCTGGGCTACCCAAATCTTGCACAGTTTGATGTAGCGATGGTTCTTGCCTAGTGCTTCTCCGAACACTTGGCAGTCTCAGCCTTACCCTAGGCCTGCACGATCTGCTGCTGCTGTCCCTGCTTTGCTTTTTTTCACAGACAACTAGGCCTGTTGGGTCTCCTTCTGCGCCACTTGTTTGGCTTCTGTGGTGTTGGCTGTGTTCTCTCAGCTACGTCGCAACTCTTTGATGGCTGCATCTTGCAGGATAAAACTGAATTCCTTGTCTCTCAATCCACAAGGATACTTGGATCCACTGGGTGTTCAATGTTGTGGCCTTGAACATGTCACACGTGTTTTAGCTCCTCATTGATAGTGGATGACAGCACTCATCCTTTCTAGTCCAGCCCTAGATCCTGGGGCTTGCTGAGAACCGCCACAGCATCAGGTTGAGACCTCATTTGCAGGAGATACTCACCATTTTCAGATCTTTGGAGATTGGATGGGAGAAAACTTAAATGTCATAGGTGATGGAGTTGTGGAGCCATGGGATTCTGAAATGAAGTCCCTCAGTGAGGCTTGTGTCCTATGACATTCCACTAATACTACTCAAGAAAGCAGGTCTGTGATCGCCTATAGATGCCAGAGGTCTGTAGGCAATCAGCAGCACCAGCATCAGCAGTAGTTCCAGCTCTGTGCCCATGACTGGGGCCCAGAAGGCAGCCATCCTGCTGTGGGCCAGTGTCTAGTCCAGAGGCCCTCTGTACCAGAGTCAGAAGGGAATGCTAGCCTACCTCTATTTCACTCCAGCTTGGGGACTGCACACTTCACAGGAGAGTCCAGGTCCATTGTACTTGTAGGAGCTAAAATTTTATAATACCCTGGTTAAATTTAAAAAGGAATTGTCATGAAAAGATTATTTAGTAATAACTGGCTGATGAGAAACTCTCAGTGTACAAATAAGTTTGATCTTAGGAGTTTCCCATAAACCCATCCAAGATCACCTGTTCTTCATTTCCCTTTCTCTAAGAATAGCAATGAGCATAATCTGTTAGCTATTTCTTTGTTCCAGATATCCCGTGGATCTCCCAGAAGCTGGTTATAATATCCTGACTTTCTTAAAACTAGGTCATTAGGCCCTGCCTGGTGGCGCAAGGGGTTAAAGCACAGCACTGCAAGCTAGCCACAGCTGCTTCAGTGTGAGTTCAATCCTTGGCCCCAGAGGTGACACTCATGGTGTGGCAGACCTCTCCTGACCCACCTGCTGTTCCCCTCAGTGGTATACTTCATCAGTCTGCCTGTTCTGCTCCCCACTCTGTCTCTGGTGAATCCTTTCACCCCTGCACCTCTGGCCTGTACCCCAGTTCTATATGCATAAGTAAATAAATCTTAAAAAAAAAAACAAAAAAAACTAGGTCATCTGGATTTAGTTGTAGTTCTAGAAAAGACCATCAGTGTCTAAGAATTGAGGAGGTGAGAAAAACTACCCATAGATTTGCAAATAATAGCATCATCTACTTTTTTGACCAGCTGCTGTTACCAGGCTAATGAAAAGAAATATTTAGCTACAGTGCCCTCTAGTGATCAAAGCCTTTCTCAACTGCATAGTGTGATTTTGGAGGGGGGGGGCAGAAAATGTTTTGATTCATAGAAGTTACTACTTCATCAGATGTAAAACCAAGTAAAATTTCATTTTATCTTTCTCTGTTTATATTGTCTTTTGTTTTTTTAGATTTTGAACTATAAATTCAGGTTGACCAATGGCTAAACAAGTGAACGTTGTAGTAAGAATAAGGTTTTACAGTGTTTTCCAACTGAACTGTTGTTGCATTTGTAAAAACTATTCAAATTATTATCATTGGTTGTCAAATTATTCATTGATTGTCAATATAAAGTGTGCATATGCTGTCTAGCTGGGTCTTCAGAGTGAATGCATGCAAACGTTCCTAGAGCACTGGTAGACTGTGCAATATCCACTGCCCATCATTCTGATCCTTACGTTTCAGAAATGCTCCCTGGATCTGTCCTGATTAGTGATGCTGTTTTTCTGGAGTTGGTAGATGCCCTGAATCAATACTCGGATGAGGAGGAAGAAGGGCACAATGATACCTCAGATGGAAAGCAAGATGACAGCAAAGAAGATCTGCCAGTAACCAGAAAAAGAAAACGACATACTATTGAAGGTAAGCTGCACTTCTCCCTATTCCACTTTAAAGATGACAAGGAGAAGAAGGGAGGACATAATAGAGAGGCTTATTCTTTATTAAAATCTGTTGGTGCCTCTCATTGATTCACTTAATAGTTCAGATGATTGTGACCTGGCTGAAGAAGAAAGCAGATGAACTTACGGGCTATCCCTTGTTCATTTCTACTTATAAAAGTAATGTGTTTGGAAAACTTCGAGAGTTATAAAGAAAAAAAATAAAATAATCTATAGTCACCATTAAAATTTCCTTCTAGATATAAAAACAAACATGTATATAAGCATACATATATGCACGCATGTACACATGCACCTGAAAATAAATTCAATGTTATATACCAATGATATCTTGTTTTTACAAATATACACATGTATCAATGTGTTTACATATGTTATGTGACGCTGGGATCATGCCACATATTTTATACATGTGTGTATTCGCATGTGTTAATTGTATACCACTGTGTATTTATTTAATGAATAAGTTAAGGAATTTCATCCTGTGCCAATTATTTAGAAATGGGCAGATACCAAAAGAAACAATGAAAACTGTTGAAGTGGCAGGACTTAGGAGAGTGAGCTCTTTCATAGTAAGCCTCTTAGAAACATTGCATTTTTAAACTACTCTATTACTTTGATAAAAAAATAAATTCCCTTTTTACTTAATCTTATTAGCATGTTTCCATTTGTTAATATGTATTTAATTTAATGCGTAACTATACCTTGTGCTGCTCTGTATTATTTAGTATAGTTAGTTCAGAAACATATTGTCTCCTGTTGTAGCAGAGTTCTCCATTGTGTTCTCCAGCATCAATATGATAGGGTTCTTCAAGATTCCGGTCTGTCCATGAAAACTGTTTTTACCTCCAGACTGTCCTGTTTGTTGTTAATGTGTAGATGGCTCCAATTTCCTTCTTTTACAGATAGCCCCTTAGTTCAGGTAGTTTTGATCTTTATGTACTGCCAAGCAGTCAATAGTTAAACTAACAAAGCAGCTGTAGTCAAAGTGCAGTGACAAAAGGAAAGAGCTTTGCTTGCATGCTGATAACAGCACTTTATGTCATTTCTAATTCAGGCAACAAAAAGAGTTCCAAGAAACAGTTCCCAAATGACATGATCTTCAGCGCAATTGCCTCTATGTTTCCCGAGAACGGTGTCCCAGATGACATGAAGGAGAGGTAGGGAAAGCTGACCTGCTCAAGCCACCTTGAGTGCTCAGACGAAACTTTTAGTCACGTCTGTTGTTTGCTTAATAAAAAGCCATGTTTATGGTAAGTCCGTTGTGATTTCCTTGGAGTCCTGATTACTCGCTTAATGCCAAATGTTCCTACCCATAGTAAGGGTCATCATATGCTAGCACTTGAGTAGTCTGGGCAGAGAATTTTTCAAGTTTAGCCATTTCTCTACAGCTACTCCAGCACCATACTTAATCAAACTTTTCCCTCCCCTTACTTTCAGCCATGAGACTGACCCAACACAATTACTGTGGTGTATTCTCTGAGCTGTGCACCGGTCTGTCTTCAACAAGACCCATGAAAAGGACCCATCCTCCCTGGCAGGCCCACCTGGATGGCTGTCAGTACTCACTGTTTTCTCAGTGGAGACATTCCCATGAACTCTTACCTCTCTTTTCTTAAATAGGTATCGAGAGCTGACAGAGATGTCAGACCCCAATGCTCTTCCCCCTCAGTGCACGCCCAACATCGACGGCCCCAATGCCAAGTCCGTGCAGCGGGAGCAGTCTCTGCATTCCTTCCACACGCTATTTTGCCGCCGCTGCTTTAAATACGACTGTTTCCTTCACCGTGAGTGGGGCTCCCCTGTTTGAAGTACTCTCCTCTTTCCCATCCCCACCCACTGTTTCCTTCTTGTTTTCATTCATTGTGTGGGGTATCCAGCCTTTGTTCTGACATGGTTTTATATGGCCAGTTCTGTTTCTACTTGTTGGGTGCTAGTGGGACTCAGTTTGCATGGTCAGAACAGAATAACCAGCAATGTAATTGTCCCTCAGCAGCTTCTCACTTTGAAAGGATTGCGTTGCCATAAAAAATGATTACACTTTGTACACCTTAATGGTAGCTAGTTACATCTAAATTTTCCTACAGTAGCTGACTAATTCAGTTTTGTTTCTCTCCATCTTATCAAATGGAGGAGCCACTGGAAACAACCATTTTGTGTTTTACAGCTTTTCATGCCACTCCTAATGTATATAAACGCAAGAACAAAGAAATCAAGATTGAACCAGAACCATGTGGCACAGACTGCTTCCTCTTGCTGGTACATTCTTAAGCTGTTCTACCATTGTTAACTTTGTTTAAAATAGAGCAGGAAATGGCCCTTGGGCTTTCTGCCCCTGGGAACACAAACCAAGTGACCTAGCACATAGAGCTTGCTCAGGGGTCATAAAGCACAAACAGAACGTGAGTGACTTCTGTTCTTAAGGGGGCCCCTGATGCTGAGGCAGTAGGACTGTGAAATTACACTTATGGAGTGAGATTTGAAGAGCATTGGAGGTTTTCCTGCTCTAAATATCGTCTAGTCAGATTTTACTACTGTCAGTACAGTAGTTTAACTGTTTTGTTAGAATTGGAGCTGTGTGTTTTACACCATTTTCTTTTTTGTCTTCCTTTAAATACATAAGACTGTAGGAGGAATAGCATATGAAGGAGCTGATGTCACATTGATGGCCCTTGGCCACGTGGACAGCCCTTTTGTGGGAGCTGTACCCCCCCCTGCATTCCTGTGGGGAGGCAGTACCCCGAAAACTAGAAGAGAATGGGTGGTTGGACTTGCCAAGCACAACTTTGTTTTCTACATGATAGTGTTAGCTTAAGCAAAGAAGGAAATGCCTTGATAAATTTTTACCACAAGTTAAAATAGGTTATATAGCCAGGTGTCTTTGGGACCATCTTGAATGGGGTAATGCAAGAAAAGATGGTCAAGAGTGTCAGGGGCATGCATGTGGGAGCAGAAAGTGGGCATGGGAAGTAATAAAGTGCAGTGCTCAGTAGCAGTGAGCAAAGGTTTTCCTTCCTGTTGCGATGCCTTCCGACACGGTAAATACCATGCTGCCCTTAATATATAACATCTTACTTTCATGCTTATAACAACATCCTGACTACTATTACAAAAAGAAAGTCTCTGTGTTTTTAACCTACAGAAATGTGTGCACATTTTTTGGGCTTTTTTAAGAAAACGTTATATTCAGTTCTAATGCTGGATGATTCTCCCCCAGACTTTTTATTAACATTTTAAGTTGTGCAAAGAAATGAAAAGATTCCTTCTTCCTGGACTTAACAGCATTTGTCCATTTTTGCTTTTCCCCTATATTTGGGCATGTATATATTTTAGCTGGGCCATTTGAAAATGTTGCATGCATCATGACTCTTCTTTGCTAAGCTGATCAGTGTATATCTACTAAAAAATAGTTTTATGTAACCACATTTTACACCCGGCAAAATTAACAAGAGTTTCATAATGACGTTTATCTATTCCCTACTCATTTTTTCCCTTATTGTACCAAGAATAGCTAGTTTTTCAAATCAAACCAAGAACAGTCATGCATCATATTTTGCTATTGTGTCTTTTCAGTCTCTCCCTCCTCCCCAAACTCAACAATCTGTTAGATCCATGTTCGGTTTTTAATCTCAAATACTACTACCATTTTTTCCCTTTTGAAAAAGCCGGAACGAAAAGAACCCAAAAAGCCTGGGGTCTGGCTTTGTCTCTTGTTTTCACTTGGTGTCATTCACCTTGTTTCTCTAGCTCATTCCCAGAAGCTAGAATTAGTTTTAAAGGCTTTAGTATACTTGTGTTAAACCTTTTGAGTAAGAATGCACTGTAGATAATGCTGTGTGAGTTATGTTGCAGTGTGGGCACTTTATCAGATTTAATTAATTTTGAAACTTCTCTCCTGCAATTTCCTTTCCTATAGTGTAATATCCTTAGTAATGGTAAAATGTGTCCTTTAAAGGCAGATATAGTTTTCATGGCATAGATTAGGGTGCAGATGCAGAGAAGCCCAGGGAAGACACATCCGCCAGTCAGGGAGAGGAGTCAAGAAACCGGCCTGCCGGCACCTTGTTTCAGACTTGCAGCCTCCAGAGTTGCAGGAGAATAAATCCCTATTGTTTAGCCAGTCAGTATGTGCTGTTTTGTGATGGCAGCCAGTGCAGACCAAAACAGTGGGCAAGGTAACGGAGCTCTGATTCTGTGTGCACTCTGGAACAGTGGGTTGTATGCTCTCTTCCTCCCTCTTGACCACATTTCCTCATCTACTGGAGAATGCGTTCTCAACCAGCTAACATGCATATGATTTTAGATACAACTCACTGGAAAGCTGAGGATGTATAAAAGCACAAATTACGTCTCTTTTTAAGATTATAGGGCAGCTGTTTTGTGAAGCAATGGAAGTTTACAAGCTTTAGCATGTCAAGCTACTACTTTATGGTCACGCTTACGAGGCACAGAGCAAACTAACAAGTGACAGCGCCACCGCACTTAGGTGCAGAGGTTCAGAAGATGGTGTACGGTGACTCTGGGCTCTTCCTATTTCCTGTCTGTCACGTGTCTGCTGCAGGAAGGAGCAAAGGAATATGCCATGCTTCACAACCCTCGCTCCAAGTGCTCCGGTCGTCGCCGGCGGAGGCACCACATGGTCAGTGCCTCCTGCTCCAATACGTCCACCTCTGCTGTGGCAGAGACCAAAGAAGGGGACAGCGACAGGGACACAGGCAATGACTGGGCCTCCAGTTCTTCAGGTACAGTGAGCAGAAAATGCAAGGACTCTAGTAAGCCCAGAATCACTGCCTGGAACTTAAAACATCACTACTATTTAAAATCAGCTCTTCCCACACGCCCACTTACAAGCAGAGGACACATGGAATGTTTTGTTTCTAACTAGTCAGTCTTTTAAGTAGAATGAAGTACTTACGCATTTGTGGCAAACTACCGGTAATAACTGCATCTCACCTACTTCTGTTTCTCTTTGTGCTCTCTTAGAGGCTAACTCCCGCTGTCAGACTCCCACAAAACAGAAAGCGAGTCCAGCCCCACCTCAGCTCTGTGTGGTGGAAGCACCATCGGAGTCTGTGGAATGGACAGGGGCTGAAGAATCTCTTTTTCGAGTCTTTCATGGCACCTACTTCAACAACTTCTGCTCAATAGCCAGGCTGCTGGGGACGAAGACGTGCAAGCAGGTACTGTCTGAGGAGCAGGGACAAGCTGGGGGCCTCCTTCCAGCCTCTGCTCTGCCAGTGCTTTTGCCCTCTGGCGAGGCTGCCTGCCCGAGACAACTTATCGTGGGCTCATTCCCTCGTGAGCCTGTGCTTCTGGGCCATGAAGTTGGTTCCCCAGTTATGGGGCTTCCTGTCAGTGCCAAGCCTCGCAGTGCTTAGGGCTCTTCTCTTTCAGCTCTTTCTTTGATCTTTGCCTTTCTTTCTAAGTGTGGATCCCTTTCCTAGAAGGGACTCCCACATCTTTTGGGGGATCTGCTTGCTCTCTCTGGGAATTTGCAGCTGCTGCTCTTCTACCAGTTTCTTCAGTTGCTTTATTCTCCAGATGTTCTATTACTAGTTTTTGTTTTGTTTTGTTTTGTTTTGTTTTGCATTACCACCCTAAATAGGTGGGCCTGGACCTCACCCTTTTAGTCAAACCTAAACAACTTGATAGCAACCACTAATCTGTGGTAGCAGAAAACCACCACAGTGAGGAGACTGATTGCAGGACGGGCGTCGGGGGGTACAATTAGTCCTCAGTAGCAAAGAGCAGCAGAGCTTGTTGGCTCCCTAAATTTTGAGGTATCTCTGTGGCCTCCTCTGTATGCTTCCTTTATAACAAGCAGTAGGACAATGAACTGAAGTGCCCTGTGCTTTCATTTAGGTGCTTATACCGACTTCCCAGAGTCATAGGTTCTTAACCTAAAAATCTGTGGAAAGGAATGTTGTTGTTTTCCTGAGAAGAGATTTATAGATTCCACAAAATCTTAAGAGGGCCTATAACAAAAAGGGAAAAGTAAAAAACCTGAAAACAGTGCAGTAAGAAGCGTGCTGAGAGGGAACCAGGCTCCCCAGAGGCGTCCTCCTGAGACTCGAGAAGGTCATCTCTGTACCAACAGAGGGCGCTAGTGCTTAGCCTGGCAGCAGCACACCTCGGACCTCGCGCTGTCACACAAGGTCCACTCTGTTGCCCTTCCTCAGAAGAGACAGATGCTGTTGGTGAGAATCAGCCCACTTAGGGCTTGGCAGGAGGAGAAGTGAGAGGAAAACTACTGCTAGGTGCTCCGTATTTCACCTTTCTCGAGTCAGGATAAACACCTAATATTAGCTTCCGAGCCAGCCACCCCATGTTCCACTGCCACTCTCTCTCTGCCCTGCTCAGTCAGCTGCCAGGGAGCGATCCAGAACCCTCCCAAGCCCAGAGCCTGGTTGGGTCACTTATCTCACCTTGCCCAAGCGGTGACAGGTCTTGTTGGATTTTTCTTCCAGGTCTTTCAGTTTGCAGTCAAAGAATCGCTTATCCTGAAGCTGCCAACAGATGAGCTCATGAACCCCTCGCAGAAGAAAAAAAGAAAGCACAGGCAAGGGTTGGACAAAGGGCTTTTTGTGGCCTGATGTTCCCTGTGCTCTGCCCTCCCCTCGGACTTCCTATCTCCCTCCCTCTCTGGCCACTGCTTGCAGTTTGCGTTGCACAACTGCGGTTCTTGTGCTTCCTGCAGGTCTAGGCCTCGGACCCGCCCTCCCCTGTCCCTAGGAGCTGGGGCCATTAGCTGACAGTGGCTACTTCAGCTCCTGACCAGCTGGACATGAGCTGTTAACCTCTCGGCTTCCCCACGAGGCCTTTTCTCCTCTCTGGGTGGTTAGTTACCGTTGTTACCCACTTCCCAACACAGTTTAGGCCTTTTCTTTCTTTCTTTTTCTGGAAACTTGTGCAATTTTTTGGCAACAAAACTTGTGCTGTTTTTCCAAGTTGCATAATGATACATAATGATTTCTAGCAAGCAAGCCTTTGCTTAGGAGGTTCCTTTAGGAATTCAGCACTCTGCCTGGTCCGAGTTCCTGATGACCATTCCCTCGTGAGGGAAGGAGCTAACGCTAGTTCTAGCTATAGAAGTGCAGCCTGTGGCTTCTCCTTTCAGCTCTGTCACTCAGAGTAGATTCCTGAAAAGCCTGCCAACCTCCCAACTTTCCCAAATTTCCATCTCCCTAAGGAGAGGGGTAGAGGGGGGGGGAAACAATAGCAGTATAGTAGACTGAAAGGGTTGGGTGTTGTTTTGTCTTTTTTTTTTTCTTTGATGTATATTTGGGGGTGGGATGTTGTTTAAATTTGCATCTTGGGGCTTAGACCAGCTGGATACAGGATGAAGTGGCTTCCATGGACCAGACAGTGGAGGCCTCCTGTGTAGGGCCATGGGGAGGATGCTCCCCAATCATCAAGCCACAGTTCCTCAGAGAACACTGTCCTGTTTCATTGCCGCACCTGCAGACTTCCCTGGGGCTAGGACCCAGACCCATCCCTTCTCTCTTTTTCAGGCTGTGGGCTGCACACTGCAGGAAAATTCAGCTGAAGAAAGGCAAGTTCCTCCAGGGCATCCTTCGGCAGTTCAGCTCAAGGTCTCACCCCTGTGGCACCCCCATCCCCTCCTCAACTGTAGCTGTACTTGTTGACCCTGCACCGCTTCCACAGATTGCAGATTTCTCTGTAGCAGCTGAGAGCAGCTCAGCTTCTCACTGCAGCTGAGAAGAGCTCTCAGGAGGTAGAGTGAGGGGCCTTGTAGTCTCTGACTTTTGTAGTGTTCTAGGTTCTAGACTTTGTGTACTGATCACAATAGCTGCCCTGTGGTCCTGGAGCGCTTCACCCGCTCCCCACAAGGCAAAGCGCCCTGTTGTAGCCTCTGAGCAGCCATCATCCATGATTTCTTCTCCCCACTGGTGGTAAAGTGCATCCGAGGTTACATTGGGACAGGCCTGCTTTCATCAGCGCCACTGGACCTGGGGAGAGGGCTGCTCCAGGCCTAGGCACAGCGCGACCCGGTCTGTCCTTCTCCCCTAGATAACTCTTCTACGCAAGTGTACAACTACCAGCCCTGTGACCACCCAGACCGCCCCTGCGACAGCACCTGCCCCTGCATCATGACTCAGAATTTCTGCGAGAAGTTCTGCCAGTGCAACCCAGACTGTAAGAGCCCGCGGGTTCTCCTGCGCCCACCAGACAGTTAGCTTCACGCATCCGCTTTCCCTCCATCATGTGCCCTTTGCTGCCGCTGGACCCTCTCGAGGTTTCTCTGCTGGCTTTCCATATTCTAAAAGGGACATGAGACACCAAAGTTCTGGGCAAGTCGTTGTTTTTGAACACTGAGGTGTGTGATTCAAAAAGCAGCAATTGCACAGAGATCAGACGCTCTCCTAACTACTTTCCAGAGCAATCTGAAGAAACATGGGGATATTGAATTTCCTTACGGTGCAGTGTTGTTTCACAACATACACAGGATACAGCTGTGTATGTGTGTTCTGTTTCATATCTGAGTTTCAGTATCAGGTTGGTCTGGATGTCAGCAGAAGAAAGGATCGTGGCCAAAGTGCCTCTTTCCTCAAGCCTCAGCAGCTTGAGGTACCACCCGGACCAGCAGCACTTGATGCTCAGTCTGTTGTGCTAGAAATATCTCTTAAACCCAGAGCAGATATTGATCTTAACCACGGCAGAGGGGCACTTGTGCTGGGGAGGGCAGAGGGTGGAGGGCAGCATGGAACGGAAGCATTCTGTTCTCAAAATGACTTGTTTGGGTGGTGAGGTTGTGCCAGTCAAAAGCACTGATTTCATTTCCCCTGGGGCAATCGCCACCTCTTCCCAGCCAGCGAGGGGGAGGGAGCCCTCGGTGGGGGGAGCCTTTAGGGGACACATCTCAGTAGTCCAACCTGCTTTCTTGATTCTCGGTGTGACTGTTGAGAGGCACTCTGGCTTTTCCAGAAAAGACTTGCGTGTGGTTGTGTTCTCTGAAGGGGACTTCCCTCCTGTTTTGCCAAATATCCTTGAAGCTGTAACATTTGCTTCCCCGCCGCCCCTTGTGTCGAGCCTGAGCCCCAGCATTAGCCTGCTTCTCTTCCTAACCTCACCTGTCTCCCCTCCCAGGTCAAAATCGTTTTCCAGGCTGTCGTTGTAAGACCCAGTGCAATACCAAGCAGTGTCCTTGCTATCTGGCAGTGCGAGAGTGCGACCCCGACCTGTGTCTCACCTGTGGGGCTTCAGAGCACTGGGACTGCAAGGTGGTTTCCTGCAAGAACTGCAGTATCCAGCGTGGCCTCAAGAAGGTGAGGCCGGTTCTCGGGACTCGGGCCAGATAATAGAGCGGGACAGACAGATCAGTCCTGTGCAGCCTCTGGAATAACCTCAGCCTCGTTCTTTGGAGATTTTGCTTGTGAAATTGCTCAGTAAATCCTAAAAGACATGCATTTACTGAATTGATAAAGTTCTGTGTGCCAGCGAGGAGCTAGAAAATTGAACTGACCAGACAAGAGGGGCTGCGTGGGGGCCGCATGGGAGCCCCCTGTCTGTCCCCCCTGGACACAACAGCGGTGCCCCCGTGGACTCAGGTCCAGCTCCCCATGTGTGGAGGAAGAGCTGTGACCTTTCCTTTCACCACCTCCTTGTGTTTCCTCCCACCAGGACGGAATCACTTAAACCTTTTTCTGCTTTCAGATCCTCTTACCAGTGGTAGTTCTCTCCACCCTGCGCCCGCGCCCGCCACCCTCTCCCATGTGCACTTTCAGCACACGTACCCCTCACACGCCCTGTAGTCTGAGCTGTGACCCCCTCTTCCCCAGCACCTGCTGCTGGCCCCCTCAGATGTGGCCGGATGGGGCACCTTCATTAAGGAGTCTGTGCAGAAGAACGAATTCATTTCTGAGTACTGTGGTGAGGTGAGTGCTGTCACTTTGGCCCACATTCTTTCTGGGGAAATACTGATGAGGAACCCTGATTTTCTGTGGGCCAGATTTCTTTGACTTAATCTCTAAATAACTCAGCTGAGTTCTCATGTGGCCTCTTGGGGGATCCCACAGAACAGTTGACAGTCCTGAAACAAACCACTCTTCTTCTATTCTTTGGTAACTCAGACCACACAGAGGGGACAGGTGGGCGCTGAGGCTCCCCTCAGTCTGAGCGCTAGTCAGGTGGGGTGGGGGTGGGAATGAAGTCCTGGGCTGTCTCTCTGATCCTCCTCATGACAGGCAGCACGTGCGTGACAGCGCTGCCACCCTTTCCCTTCTAGGGTAGGGTACCCTGTCCTGAGCAGGCCCCCTGATCCCCCTCATCATTCCTTGTCTGTCCCTGCAGCTTATCTCTCAGGATGAGGCAGATCGACGAGGGAAGGTCTATGACAAGTACATGTCCAGCTTCCTCTTCAATCTTAACAATGGTATGGAGCTTCTCCCTCATCCCAAGGTGGTCTCTGGCAGGTCTTCCCACCAGATTTCCCTTGGATAAGCCTGGCTCAGATGCCCTCTGAGTCTCCCAACACATGCAAACTCCCAACACATGCAAAGAGCAAGGTGGTGAGATGGACTCAGAGGCACCAAAAGCCACGGTTCACCTGCCCTGGAAGATCCTTCATTTCCAGGTTGTGTTTGCAACCAGAGTGCTAAACCTGACACCTCAGAAATCCCCTATTCACAGATCCACAACTCAGGCAGAGGGGGGAGGGCACCCAAGGGACTGTGCTGACTTAAGGCTGGACTGACCCTCTCCTGTTGGCACGCTGGGCTTCAGCACTCCCAGGGGGTTGAAACTATTTATGTTACTGGTTAATTGATTTAAAATTCAGCCTCAAGAAGCTGGTGGCATTCCCTGGTGAGCTTATAGTCTTCCTTGGCTTTCTTGATACAGATTTTGTGGTGGATGCTACCCGGAAAGGAAACAAAATTCGATTTGCAAACCATTCGGTGAACCCCAACTGTTATGCCAAAGGTGAGTTCCCAGTGACCTGGGAGTGGGGCCTGGGAGGATGGATGCTTCATGTACTGTGGTTTCCGTTGCTCAGCTTTTTTGTAGGTGAGTTGCTCTGTGTCCAAACGTAGCCATGATCAGTGTCTGTTATCATTTTGAGCATCTTTCTCTTAGTTATAGAAACTGCTTTTTAGCTGATAAACAGTCTCCCGCAAGGCTGAGTCTTAAAAAGATAATTCTTTCCCCAAGTCATTCATCCGAATAACGGAACTGAATGCACAGAGGCCATGGCCTTCATTAATCTCTAGTTCTACTTCCTGTTTGTTTTCACTGAAAATTTGGAGAAATCCAGCCCAGAGTCACTGCTGGTCGTTGACTGGCGTTGGCGAGGAGCCTAGCCTCAGGTCTGTCCTGTTTGCAGTGGTCATGGTGAATGGAGATCATCGGATTGGGATCTTTGCCAAGAGGGCAATTCAAGCTGGTGAAGAGCTCTTCTTTGATTACAGGTGAGGTGGGCGGAAGGGGGCTCTCAGAGCTGGTGTGGATGGAGAGGCCTCCAGGGGCCAGGGCTCCCCCTTTGTTCTGCCCTCTGCTGCTGGCCTCTGCTGTGGGCGTGTCCACTGCCCCTAGGGAGCAGGGAAAGTGAAGGGTGGGGGACTGTGTCTTTCTGTTGTATAATCCGGTTCCTCCTCCTGCTCTCGGACAGGTACAGCCAAGCTGATGCGCTCAAGTACGTGGGGATCGAGAGGGAGACTGATGTCCTTTAGTCTTCCTGGGCGCGTGCCAGCGCTCCCGGTAGCGGCACTCACTGCTTTCACGCGCACACCACTGCTGCTCGAGTTTCCTGCACTGTGTGTCTGCCACACTGAGAAACCCCCACCCGCTCCCTCTGTAGTGAGGCCTCAGCTGTGCCCAGCAGGGACAAACTGTCTCATGACAGGGGAGACAGAGGCAGCTCGGCTTGGGCTCCCAAGAGAGAGCTGCAGAGGCAGGAGAATGTGTCTGTCTGGCTTCAGAGGAAGAGAAGGCGGGCAGGGCTGGGTGATTTACGCTTGGTTTCTTGTCAGCCACCCAGAGTGTGGCCTCAGATACCCATTTGGGCAGTTCCTAGCAGGCATTAACCTCTAATTCTAATTTTCCAAATCAAGGGTCCTGTTGAATCAGGTTGCCAGCATCTCCCTGTGGAGAGGACAGGCCGGGTTGCGCCTGATGCCCGAAGCCTGTGCGTGGTCTGGCCAGAGGCGAGCCCTGCCGTAGCGCACGCTGAATGCAGAGGGAAATGGGTCAGCTGGCTACCCCTTTGCTCTGGCAGGGTTCACACCGAAAGAAGTGGTTCTAGATGTGGCTGTTTGCGCTGGGAGAGGGGAAGTGCAAGGCCTTTCTCGCAGTCAGAGAGGGCCAGCCCGACAACAGTAGTTAAATGGTGAGCTGGGGGCCCAGGCGGCTTTGAGAACCCCTTCTCTGTGTACCCTGGAGATGGATGGATAAGTTTCTGATTCCCAAGACAGGTGCCCTGCCCTCTCTGCTCCTTCCAGAATCCTGGCGTGGTGGCTGCAGCCGCCATTGTGCTGCTAGTGAAGAGGCTCAGGGTGTGCGCGCTGGGGCTGAGCGCTCTGCTGGTTGGCGGGCCTCCCCCTCCCTGAGGCTAGGGCAGGCAGGCGCCAGCCTGGACTGGGTAGGGGCAGAGTGCTATGACTAGCTCCTGACTGCCTGCCTGCTGTTGGGAAGGCTGAATTGACAGCGTTGGGAGGTGGGCGAGGGGCTCCCAGAGTCACATGTTTGGGATGACATCACGGGCAGTGCAGACCGGCCGCAGGTACTTGGAGCTTCGGGAAGCAGCGGACCACCTGTCCCAGTCTGTGGCGCCATTCCCTCTGGGGTTCATGCAGAGCAGAGCACTTTATTTCTTCTAGGTGTGTAGGTTGAGGTGGAGTTTGAGCTAAGGTCTCGGGTCCCTGCCCAAATCCCATTCTTGAGGCGGGCGGGTGAAGAGTGGAAGTTACTTGTCCAGTTGTGTCTCATCTCGTGGGGGATTCAGGGGAGCTGCCTTGCCACAGAACTGGATGAGGAGGGGCCGGTGCCAAGAGCTGCCCGCCTGACTGCTGAGTGGGGAGTCGGAGCCCGCTGCTGGGTGAAGGAGGCGGCACAGACAGGCTGGGCGCAGGCGTCTCCCTTCCTCCTCCCTGGGCCTCTGCTGATCACACCCTCCAGCCCCACTGGCTGTCCCGGGAAGCACGTAGTGGGGTTGCCTCTGGCCACCATCACCTAGTTCGTGGGATAGAGGCTCACCTGCTCTCACGCACCGCGTGGGTGCTCGTGCCATGCTCGGTAGGGGCCCAGCCAGCTCCTGACAAGCCTCGTCCCACTCTGGCCAGCCCCGTGCAGATTCCTCTGCGGTTTGTGTTATGTATATTCGGGACATCCTCTAGCTGGACCAGGGGCTCCGAATTACTCAGAAATTAGAGTTAGGGCTGTCTGAAGTGCCAGGGGCTAGCCAGGAAGAGGTGAGAACAAACGACTAGGGCCTTGGAGGGGCTAGACCGGCCCCACCCTTCCCTCGCATGCAGAATCGCTGTGGTGGGCCCCTTCCCCAGCTGCAGACCACTCATATTTCCCTTCCTTCCCCCTCCACCCTGCCACCCCTCACCTTTAATGACGGGTCTCAACCCCTCCCCCCAGACTTGGAATGATGGTGGTAGAGACTAGGGGGAGGCTGGTTTATGTGCGGCTTTATTGCCAGTGAATTTCACGCACTTTAAAGTCTTGTGGCTTGTGACCTCTTATCTGAATAAAATGGTAGAATCCATTTTGGCAAGTTGTATACTGTGTGCTGTGGGTCCAGAAGGATCCCGGGATGGTGGTACAAGAACAGACCAGGCTAAAGCGTCACATTCAGATCCCAACTATCCCCTGAGGTCTGGAGGGAGGGGGGGGGCGATCAGTCTTTTGATAGGTGAGGCAAGGATTTTGAGGGATCAGTTCAGTTAAAATCACCCCACTCACCCCTGACCAGACGCCGGCTACCACACACAGACTGGGGCTCTGCCACTCGGCTTTATTAAAGTGGCTCCGAGTCTGTGAGCACAGCTTCGGGTGCAGGCTGGCGAGCGACCGGCGGGCCTCATGAAACTTTCAACACAGGAGAAGCAAACTACAGACTGGGCACAGCACAGGACAGGACAGTCCACTGATTTTTTTCTTTTATATATAAACGGATAATTAAAAAATTAGAGTAATATATAGTTTCTCTAGAGAGAGACTTGGCAACAAAAAATATATATAAAGAATGTGACCTCCTGGCAAATGAAGCAGCATCTCTGAGCGGAGGAAAACAGGCTCGTCATGCACTGGAGGGGGCTGAGCCTGTGGACAGGCACCGAGGCTATTGCACATCTTAGCAGAGGGGGAAGAGTAGAGGGCTGGCAGGTCAGGGTGTCTGCATTATTCGCTCTGCGTTGCAAGTATTTATGGCTTTGGCTAAAGCATGTAAAGCAGCGGAGGTACTAAAGTGCTAAACTGAGGCCTCTCTCAGTCTCTGTAAGAAAGAAAAACAACAGAAAGGGGAGTGGGGGGCAGCAGTGAAGCCCTCCCCAGCCCCCAGCTGAGTGGAAGCAGATGGAAGACGATCTGCAGGGCAGGAGGGAGGCTGGGGGGTTTGGTTTAGCAGCCTCCGCCCCTTGCCCTGCATCCCTGCAATCCCACACCTCTGTCCCTGCTGAGATTGAATATTTGAAGGGAGGCAGTTAATCTCCCCTGCACTCTGTTGTTAATCCCTGGCAGCAGCTGAGACAGAGATGGCGAAGAGCCCTGGGAGGCTTCTTTGGGGCAGGCAAACATCCAGGAGCCTGGGGAAACGGGGATGGGCAGGGCATTGGTTTAGGCAGTGAGGCTCAGCCACTCCCTTTGGTCCCATCTGTATCTCTGCCCATCAAACTTGGCAGGAGGGGTGTCCTCTGGATGAGCAGAGCCCGCAAAGAGGAGCCAAATGCCCCTGACGGGGTGGGGTAGAGGCAGGAACTGGGGAATTCAGAGATGTACTTGGTCCCTTATGCCCTTCTGATTCATTCAGACCTGGACTCCTCCAGGATCTGGGGTAGGTTTTGGTCCCGTGGGCCAGGGCCTGGGCCTGGGGCTGGGGCTGGGCCTGGGGTTGGGGGTGGGGCTGGGGCTGGGGCTGGGGCTGGGGCTGGAGTGGAAGCTGGGGTGGAAGCTGGTGGAGGGGCCGGGGCCTGGGCAGACCCTGCAGTAGGTAGGGGAGGTTTGCTGCCAGGATGGAGTTCATGGGTGGCCGTGGGCTCATTGGTGTGATAGGAGCCCTTGTAGCGATGGTTCTGCAGATAGAAGAGCACCAGCATTCCCACCAGCCCCAGCAGCAGGAAGGCCACCAAAACTGAAAGGGAAAGAAGGGACAGTTGAGGCCGGGTGTTGGGCTTTCACCGGTATACAGACACATGTACCCTCTGGTCAGAAGTCCGAGAGTGCGAGTGTCAGGCAGGTCCCCAGAGTCTGGGAGGTCTCAATTCCTGGCTCGGCCTCTGCCATCTTCTACTTCCAGTAGCCTTTGGTTACATCCCTGCAGCTACCCCAATTTAGCATCTCTCCAGATGTCACTAGATTCCTGTTTCTTCATCCCTTAGCTATAGCCTCATTTTAACATTTCAGCTAAAAGCCTGGAGCATCTTCAACATTAAAAAATCTCCAGCTCAGTTATTTATTACTTTCACGTAGCCTCACTCATCCTCCTACCTCGCCTCCCTCACCTTGTCTGGTTCTAGCTCCTGTACCCCTTGACCCTGGGGAAGGGGGCAGCGGGTTTAGGGACAGCATGTTGATAGTCCAAGGGTAGAGGGAGGAGGTCAGGGTGCTGATCAGGGCTACTTACAGCCTAAAAGTATGGCAACCCATCCGTCGTCATGGTAGTAAGGAAAATCTGAAAAGGAGAAACCCCCGAGTTAGGAGAAGCCCCCCCACCTCTGTGTGGGGAATCACTTCCCTGCCCTGTCACCCCTCTCTGTGTCCCTAAGACATACCTGGGGGCAGATACCAGGGGTCCAGCTCAGGTGGCACCTCCGAGAATAGACGTGGCATGGCTCCACAGTTGGACTCTGACAGTTCTCCCTGAACGCGAAGGGCCTCTGCCAGCTCCGCGGTCATGGGGCGAGGGCTCCGGAAGTGGGTCTTGAGGGGAGCCACGTTGTTAAATCGAACACCAGACAGGCAGCCCGAGAAGCCTGGTGTGTTGTAGCGCTGGATCTCTGGGTCAATTACTCCAGTCTCTGAGGACCCAGGAAGGAAGGGGCTTGGACCACCATGACCTCTGCCCCCTCAACAGCTACAGGTTTCCTTTCCAGGGTGCTCACCACCTTCACTGCCATTCCCAGACCTTAACTCGCCTCTGGGCTCCAGGGACTTCCCCAAAGTACATTCCCCTGCCCATGGCTTACCCATCACACGCCCTAGATACAAGGCCTTGGGTGAGTCCAGCTGGCTGTCCACCAACAGTGAGAACTTCTGTTCTGTCAGTGGGAAGTAGTCCACCTGGGAGGCGGGGGGTTGTTGGCAGAGGGCGATGAGAGAGGACCAGAGGCTGATGTAGCCAGACCATGCAGGAACTCTCCTCACCAGGGGGCACTGGGTGAGTCCTGACGCAGTCCCACATGCTCAACTCCTGGACCCAGATACAGGATTTGGTATCGAACAGCTTATTTTTGAGTCCCAGTGGCTTTATTTTGGGAAAATCACTATTTTCTGGGCCTGATTCTGATTTGTGCAACAGAGACCCTAAGAACACCTGCCTATCTGAACTGCCTCAGAGGTCGTGAGGCTCCCAAGAGGTAATTTAGAATGCGCCCTACACGTGTGAAATATTTTCCCGGGTGCCGCAGCCTAGATCATGAGGTTCTGATCTGAACTGGTCACCTGCCTTGTCCACCTCCCTGTACACGTACCTGGATGAAGAGGTGGCGGTAGACCCTGGTGATATTGACGCTGTGGGGCTGGCCATCAGTAACTGGGCGGGTGGTTAGCTGGTACACGTAGGGACTGGTGCCCAGCTGATACCGTAGCTGCAGGGTCCCTGGGGGAGTAGGAAGGAGAAAGAGTCTCCCCTCAGCTCCCACAACCCCCTTCTTCTAGGAGCACTTGGGCCCTTCTATCAGTGAGTCAGTAGTTACAAGACTGAAGAAGGCCTGGGAGGAAGCTGGCATGGCGGGGAGAGATCCTTGAGGACCTTACCATCTTCCTTGATGAGCACAGCCATGTAGTCACGCACAAAGGAGCTGACATAGAGCAGGACGGCGGGGGCAGAGCTGGTGCTGAAGCTGAAGGACACTTCCTCTCCAGTCACATTGTAGACGGGTCCACGGTAACCCGGCACAGGCCTGCCGGGCCGGGGGTAATCAGGCAGGCGGTACCCAGGGCCGTGGTAGCCTGGCACGTAGCCAGGGGTGTCATAGCCAGGGATATAGCCAGGCTCGTAGCCTGGCACTGGCCGGCTCAGCATGTGGGAGAACTCCCGGGCTGCAGAGCGCAGGGCGGACTGCAGGTTATAGCGCATCCAGGTGCCAGGCTCAAAGAAGCCGCCAATATCTGAAGGCAGAGGTGGTAAGATCAGGGCCCTGCTCCCAAGTTCAGCAGTCATGTGTCACCCACACAGCCCCTGAGGTTTGCCCTCAGTTTCTGCCACGAGCACAACACACTTCTGTTGTTTGAGATCCCCTTGCCTCCCACTGTCACAGAGTGGAATCTTTGAACCATGAAATGTCCCCTAATCCAACTCCTGCATTTTATTGGACGGAAAACTGAGGCCTGGAAATGGGAAGTTACTTGCTTAAGGATTCACAGTAAATGGAGTGCCAAGGTCAAGCTAGCTTGAGACTTCATAACCCTTCGGGCACACTTGCCACTCCTTAAACCTCCGAACCAAGGCCACAGGTCTCCTGTTGGTCCCTGAAGCTCGCTCCCCACTCCACCAGGCTTCCCCACCAGTGACTTCCTGCTCACCCATCCTCCCAGACCAGCTCTGGGGAGGGGCAGGCTGGGGCTGTGTGCAGAACGGCGCTGTGGTGAGTGTCAAGGCTCACCTCAGCCAAGAGCCAGACCGCACACAAGCTTTAGGGCGCAGCAACTGTCAACAGGGAATGGCAAGGAGGGGCGCGTGCAGCCTTAGGGGGACGTTTGCAAGGGGGGGGGCACCAGTGTTGCCATGGTGACCTGGGAAGACAGGGGCGTTCTTGCTGGCTGCTTTTGGGTTCTTTCAGGACCAGCTAAACTGCCAGCTTAGCTACCCCCTTCCTTGTCCCACCTGATGCCTTTGGAGTCACCCAGCATTCTCAGCCGCCGGACTGCCCCAGCTCAGGACTCAAACCCACCGGCAGCTCTAGTTTCCCGATTGATGACTTTATACTGTCCTTCCTGCCCTGTCCCCACACCCCATTACTGTACGCCCCCAAAGCCCCCTGACCACCTCCCCAGCAGTGCTGACCATGGTTGCAGTAGGGCCCGTCAAAAGCTGTGAGGTCGCAGTCACAGGTATAGTAACTGTAGCGCTCCACACAGCGGCCTCCGTGGAAACAGGGGAACCGGGGGTGGACACAGTGGCCTGTGCAGTTGGGAGAAGTGCCCTCAGAGGCATTGGCACGGCCCTCCAGGTTCAGAGTCACTCCGTTCAGACGCATGGCCCTCAGGCAACCCACGAAGGGGCGTCTCTTAAGCTCTGCAGATCCTGGGAAAGGTGAGCAGGTTAAGAAACAGGTGTAGAGCCAGAGACGGGCCAGGTTTTGGGTTGGGGGACGGAGCCAAGTGGGCTAGAGAATGGGAAAGATCTAGGACGGGAGAGGAGGTGGGCCTTTGTCTCAGTCTGAAGTAGAGGGGTGTGGGACCTAAGACACGGTCTGCTGGGAACAAGGAGCGCAGCCTTGGGGGTGCGGGCAGGGTGCAGGAGCCGCAGACCGGCCTCCACATGGCCGCTCACCGACATAGAGGGGCTGGTCATACTCCAGCCAGATGTAGGTTTGCAGGGGCATAGGCCGCAGCGCCCAGGGCCGGTGGTCCACACGGAGACGGGCCTGCTTCACGTTGATCTCAGCCCGGACCAGGTGCCACTCGTCATCGTTGAACTCAAAGTCATCCGAGTGCACTGTCAGGTTCTCATCCCCGTTGCCCACATCGAAGGCGAAGACCACATCCCGGGACGCTGGACAGTTGGGGAGAGCGGGGCACCACCCTCTAAGGTCCCCCCTAGTTTTCACCCGACAGCCACTCTTCCTCACCTCTTTATAGGGTTCCTTGAATGTTCCTCCAATCTGTCTAGCGCCCGGGACGAATCTCATAAACTGCTTAGAATCTCAGACCCCTGACCTCCCAAACTGGCAGATCGCTGGTGCCAGCCTCCCGGCCCCACTCCTCAGGCCACAAACATAACTAGTCCGGTGCCCCCCCATCTCCCTTATTCATAAGCAAGTGGCTTAAGGCCACGGTCAAAAAGCCAGCAGTCAAGACAGCTGTGCCAGAACCCAGGCCTGTGAAAGCCATTTCCACGCTGCCTCTCGGAAGGTCATCTGCCTGGGCCCTCACCCCAGCCCCACCTGCTCCACGTCTACCCAGAGATCATCACTGTCTGCCCCGCGCCGCCCACTCTCTGCTCACTGTTGAGTTCCACCCGCACGTAAGGGCGGCGCCACTGGCAGTAGGGGCCCCCCATATTCTCTAGGAAGACTCCAGAGGGAGCTGAGGTCCTGAAGTAGAAGGAGACATCAAGGCTGTGGTTGGCACGGATGGGGGGAAAGCGGAGTGTGGTCCCAGTGTGGAAGGAGATGGTGTTCCAGGAATTCCCTACGAAGCCAGATGGAGGAGGCCTTGTCAGGTGGGTGGAGAAGTGGGGGGACCTCAGGTGGGACTAAGGGAAACAGCTGAAGGGAAGGGGGCCCAAGGGGACAAGAAGGGGTGTAACGAAAGAAAAGGAAGGTGCAGAGGAGCTGGGCAGAGTGTCCCAGAGGCCCCCGCAGCCCAGGCGGCCTACACTGGGAAGCTGGTGCGCCCACCCCGGGGGGGCACGCCAACCAGCCTCCACTCACGGTCGCCGTAGCAGCGCAGAGGCCTCAGGAAGAACTGGGCCTCGGAACTGGAGCGGTTCGTGTCCCCCACCACCACCTGAGTGACGGGCAGATGGTCCACGAAGGTCAGCAGTCCCTTGTCGGTTCTCCTGTGGGGGCAGGAGGCAGTGACTCAGCCCTGCTGCTCAGCTGCCCCCCACCCACAGGGCTCTGTCCCGGTGCCCGCCTCACCACTGGGGCTGGTCAGCATCACAGTTGCAGTGCAGGGCGGGGTCCACGCAGCTTCGGTCCAGACCACAGGCACAGCGCTGGATCCCAGGCTGCGAGCCTCCCCAATAGAAGTGCTGCTCCTCATTCCGGCCCATCCAAAAGCTGTAGGGGTAGCCTCCTGGGGAAGAAGCGCGGGCGGTGTCCAGGCCTGTGTCTCCATTGGTCTCTGGGCTGCTCTCGCCACTCTCACTCTTCCAACCAGCCCACAACCTGACCGTAAGGGTAGAGCCTGGGACGCCAGCTGGACTCTGCTTTCGGCCTCCCAGGCCCCCACTGGTGTCCCCTCCAGCACCCGACCTCACCCTCAGCCCTAACCTGCAGTGTTGAGCAGCCGGGAATTGTAGCAGGAGAACTCGATCCACTGTTCGCAGTGCTGGGAAGCATTGGCCAGGGCACTGACTTCCTCCCAGGATGCATTCCAGTACTGGACAGCCCCCAGGAACGGCCGCTCCATGCTAGAGCCTGTCACCCGAGTTGTCCACAGCCTGTCATGTCGCACAACTGTCCACGCCCGGTTCTCTGGGGAGAAGGAGGGGCAGAACTTTGGTGGAGATGAGCTTTCTCTACCCAGCTCCCTGCCTACCTCCACCACCACTGCTGCAAGTCAGCCAGTAGATGTGGCCGGCCTGGTACATCGTCCGCTGGAGAGGAGGCAGCTGGCGTGGATCAAGAAGCTGGAGTCTATCAGCAAGGCTAGATTACAAATTCCTGGCCATCTCTTTCCCCTCTCCCTTCCCCGGCCCTGTCACCGTTTAATCGCACTGGCCCCTGCCTGCCTTCAGTTCTTCCCTGTTTCCCCTACACCCTGCATTGCCTTCTCAGCTGCCTCCTCACCACCAAATCAGAGGCGATTACCTCGGATATCACAGTAGACCACAAATGGCTTCAGGGGGCCACTGCCATCGGGATCAATGGTGAAGTTTCCAGAAGTTTTCCCGCTGAGCCGATAAGCTTCACAGGATTCCTTATACAAAGCTGGTAGGTGGTGGGGTAGGGACAAGAAATTAGGGATCAAAGCCCCATCTCTAGCAACCTTTTCCTGACCTCCCCTGTGCCTGAGTCTTCCCTGTCCCCCAGTGGGCTTACGTTGATGGCAGGTCTCCCCCTTGTAGCCTGTCAGTTCACAGTAGCAGATGAAGTCATCCCAAGACTGATAGCAACGTCCATCGTGCTCGCACATGTTGGGGTTGCATCTAGGGAAGGGGCAGTGCCAAGGATTGCACCTTGTTGGGAACCTGAGGGTGAGGTCTGGTGCCCACAGACATTACACCCAACCCCTGAGGGGACCAGACCTAGTGAGCCATGCCCCTCCTAACTCACCAGGCACAGCCTAAATCTGGGGCTTTAGATGGCCTCTGGGCTCAAGTATGCCTGTCTTCCCTTCCCCAAAACGACAAATAGTAACAGATTTCCCCACCTCCACCTTCAAAAGAAAACCCTCCAGAGCCAAAAACAAATGCTTCTTTTCCATTCTGAGCATGTATCACTTTCAGGGAAGAAAGAGGAAGTGAAAGGTGAGAGGTTAAGGAGGCATCATCTCCAGGTGGGAGTCTGAGGAACTGGGACCTGGAGGAGGCCGATTGTTGAGAAAGTCCAGCCCCACTGGAAACCATGGAAGAGGGCTTTGAGGCAGGTCACCCCTTACAGGGAGAAGGGCTTCTGTTACCTATCAGTGATGCCACATGTGTCAAAGAGGACCTCAGCATAGTGTCCGAGCCGACGGAACTCCACCAGCGTCAGGTTGACCAGTTGGCCGTCCACCTTGAGCAGCTCCATGCAGCCATGAAATGCAGTCTGATTGGAGTGGCAGCCCCATCGACTGGCTGGCTTGGGACAACCTGGAATAACCACTCCAGTGAAGCCCTCCCCCAGGGAGACTCCAGAGACCCTCCCTCAAGGATAGCGGATTGGAAGGAAGGGGGAGAGGGTGGGAGGAAGTAAGGACCAGTCCTCAAGACCCTGGAGGAGAAACAGAGACTTATCCCTACAGATCTCTCCTGTGGCCCAGTCTGGTGCACTTAGATAGGACCTTCCCACCCAGAAACAGGGATCTAACAAGATCAGGCTTCCACTTACCCCCAAAGAAGTATGAGGTCCCTGTCCGGATCAACAGTGGGGCTGAGACCCTGACCTCTGCTCCCTCCACATCGTCAATACTGATCACTGCATGGTTTTCCTGCGCAGCAAAATTCACCTCATGCCAAAATCCATCATTCAGGCGGTATCCTGGGCAAGAAAGGAGCACAGTGTGTGGCGGGAGCACCACAGTGTGTGGCGGGAGCACCACACTCTAGGAGAACGGAGCCTGGAGTGGGGCAGCAGCCACTCCACCAGTCCAAACAGGAGCCTAGGGGCCCCCATTAGCTACATTTATCACCCTGAGTGGTGACTTGTGAGTCTTCACTGGTCATCACCTGGTAATGGACAGTCTGAAAAGTCACAAATGATAACATCTCCCCACCCCCACCCCGACACCTGGGAACGGGCCTCTTCGCCTACCTGTTCCTCCCGGTACCCTTAGCTCTGCAGATCTGCCTCCCCACCGCCTCCAGCCACGCCCCTTCTCAGCCCACCCGGGCTCTGCTCCCCTCACCCCCTCATCCCTCTTCAGCAGGCAGTCCTCCATCCCTCCTCGTCCTCCCCCAGCCCTCCACCCCTCACCAGCAGCGAACTGAAGTTTCTTTCGGCCAGTCTGCGCGATGGACACATTGACCTGTCCGTCACTGAGCATCAGCTCTACGTGGCCCAACCCGTCCCCCAGGCGGGAGAAAAGTAGCAGCCCGGTGAGGTCCCAGGTGCGGAAGCGAAAGGAGACAGCGAGGCGGCCGCGACGCGGGAAGCCAGGCACCTGCACGAAGTTGTGAGGCCCTCCAAAGTTGATGGGGTGAGGAACCGGGTCCAGGCAACGGAACGCCACCTTACCCTGGGGGCGGAAGCGTGGGTCTCTCAGCGCCCGCGGCCCGCCCCGCCCCGCGTCGGGGACCACCCCGCCCCGGCTCGGACCCGAGGCCCCGCGGCCCAGCGCTCCCGCCCCCCCAGTCCAGCCGGGAGGAGGTCTCCACCCGAGCGCCCGCTCCTGGCTGCGGTTCCTTTTCACCTACTCCTGGGCGACCACCTCCTTCCTTGGCTCCAGTTCCAAAGGCAATTTCCCGCCACCTTCAGGCGCGGCGCTGACTACACGCTCCTGAGTTGCGGGGACGCGGCCGGGGTACGCCGAAGCCCGGGGCCAAGTCCCTGCCCACCGCGCCACCCGCGTCTCAGCGCGTATTTTCCTCGCGGTGGACGGGCTTGGACCCGACCGCCGTGGCTTCTTAACTCGAGTTAAGTTAACTCGGGGGTGTTGGGGAGGGGGCAAGAAGGGTGGTTGTGAGGCCGAGATGACGCCCCCCCCCCATCTGAGCGTCCGGTCGCGAGGACAGGGAGCCTTGGCTTTGATCTGATTCTTAAGATCCTCCCGCTGTGCCCCACGGCGGCGGCTCCGACGCCCCATCTTCCCACATCTCCCCCCCACCCCACCCCCCACTGGCCTCGAAGGTGATGCGGGAATGGCGCCGCACGGCCAGGTCCGCGATGTTGACTCGGTTGAAGATGACGTTTTCTATGCAGCCGCGGAAATTATGCCGATAGCCGAGGTTCTTCTGCGCGGCGCCCACCAGGCCCCCGATGAACATCTGCGGGCGGGCGGGTGGGGAGGGAGGGTGCTGGCGAGCGGGCGCGCTGTCTCTGGCGCTCCCCGCTGTGCACGTCCCCAAACTCCGGGCCGGACTTTATAAAAGACGTAACGCACACACTGCGCCATTATCCTAACAAGAGTTGGAGGCTTGCTGGGCTTCCTGAGGCCTGGAGTGGCGCCCCGACTCGCGCACATGGGCTCAAGTTCTGCGGCACGTCAGGTAACCTGTCTGGGATTCTTTATCTCCGGCTAGGGTGTCACCAACGCCACAGAGATGGGCAATCCAAGGGAGCAAGTTCCTTATTTTGCCCACTCCCCGGGCCAACATGTCCCACCCCCAGCTCAGTAGTTATGAGGCTGGTGCCAGGGACTCTGCAAGTTAACAGCAACAAGACAAGACCCCAGCTCTTTCTGGAGTGCAGAGTTCGCCAAGGCTGCTAGGGTATTCAGGAAGGGGAAGGCACAGCCTCTTTCTGGGAGAGAGAGGTGTTGACTTCCCACCCCGGCCCCAGCACCCACTGAGAGCCCCACCCGACCCAATCACACCTTGCCTCTCTGCTCACCTCATTGTCCAGGTTCAGTCTCTCAAAGTCGCCGTTGAGCACAAAGCGCTGCACGTAGCCGTCCAGGGTGAGGTTTGCATCCCGGCCATACCGGTCCACCCGAACGTAGTGCCAGTGTTGATCATTGAGCACGCCACCAGCGCTCACCGTGGTGTGACCAGGCCTAGGCTGGATGGGGCTGCTGCCTGCGGGTCAGGTGGGGCAGAGTCAGCTCACACCTGGAGGACACCCCCAGCCCCAGCCCGAGCCTGAAAGCAGAGTAGCCGCAGGCAGGCAGCACAGAAGAGAACCTGCAGAGCTCCAGGCAGCCTGGGAGGGTGGGCTGAGGAAGATGGACTGGCCAGAGCGTGGCAATGAGTCGGGGCACTAAGGCTGCTTCTTCTGTCTCATCATGGGGGTGTGATTGTGTGATGGAAAGTGAACGAGATACAAAATAATGCAAAACTCTTTGTGGATATATATATATATATATATATATATATATATATATATATATATATATGACTGGGGAAGAGCCTTATCCACGAGAACAGCCCTGAGAGACAGTGGAGAGGCGACTGGAATCAGTTCTCCTGACTCCCTCTGTGTTTGGCTGGCACCAAATACCACACGAAGAAGCAGAGGGGTCCACACAAGAAGGGGGTGGTCTGGCGTGGCGCTGGCAAAAAAAGCCTCCGGGGTGGCGGCGGCAGCGGAGCTCACCCAGACTCATGTGCAGCAGCAAGTGCGCCCCCTGCAGCTCCAGCGTCACGTAGTCGCCCTGGGCGCCCTCGGCGTGCAGCAGGAGTCCGTCCTTCTCCTCCGTCTTGAAGCTGAAGGCGAACACGTCCCACAGGCTCCGGCTGACCCCTCGCGGGAAGCGGTACGAGATGGCATCGTCGCCGTCGAAATACAGCACGTCAGACTCTGTGCAGAGGACCGTGCGTGGGCGGGGTCCCAGGAGACGGTCTCCCGGCCCCCTCCGCGACCTCTGCGTCTTACTGTAAGGGCAGCCGTAGAGGCCGAGCCTCAGGCCGATCTTGCCACGCGGGTTCCAAGCCAAGGGCACGATGCGGATATAGCGCGCGGTGAAATGGTAGTGCAGGTCGTGGCGCACCACGGCAGACTCGTTCACATTACCGAAGAAGGTCTGAGGGAGAAGGGGAGAGGGGTGACCACGCTCGTCCCTACTCTCAATTTGCTTTTTCCATAGCCTCTCCAGCCCCAGTTGTTACATCAGTCAATTTTGACTTCGGGAAAGCAAACACTGCTTGGCAGCCGCTGTCTGGAAGCTCTTAGCAGTTTCCCTAGCCTACACTATCCCTCTCCACACCATCCTATATCCTCAAGTCTCAGTTCAGATGTCACCTCCTTCAGGAAGCTCTCCCAGATTTCTCCCTTTGTCCAGGAGTGTCTTGCACACATGATGATGAACTGACAGTCCCTCTGGGTTGAGTCCATGGAGTAGAGTCAATAGTTCCTCATCAGTGCCCTCACCAATGCCTTCTCCCTTCCCTCCACCCCCCCAAAGCTAGTGCCCAGCCTAAGTCCCAGAGCTGAGGAAGCTCCCCAAGTGTCTGCACAGGGTTTGGGGGGGGGTCTGGAGTACCTACCGAATTGTGCCCACGCTGGTAGAATGGTGTCCAGCTGTCCACACGGTCGCCATAGAGCAGCATGTAACGTGTGACCCAGTCCCATGAGTTAAAGGAACCTTGTGTGGCCACAGCCCGGATTCGGTGCTTCTTCATTAAGTCTATCTGGAGCCAGGGATTCGGGTCCCCAATCCGGGGAGACCATCCGCTTATGCCTATAGCAGGGGAATGGGCTTCATCACTGGGTCCCCCTTCACCTGCAGCCCTGGAGAGTCCCCACCCATTCAGAGTGGACCCTCACTCACCATGCAGCCGGGCAAAGCGGGGTGCTGTGAAGAGCCCATAGTAAGAGGAGGCACCCAAGGAGCGATAGTACAGGGGTCCGACCAGCTCTTCGTCACAACCATCTGGGTTGGAGGAAAGGACACTGTTGGTCAGGGTGCCCCTTCCCAGGTCCTGCGGTCCACTGAGCACTTGGCTCATTCCCTTTCTTTGCGACCTAGCGGCAGACCCAACCCTACCAGAAAGCTGTCTACCCAACCCCCACAGGGCAGACTGCCTTCTCCCTCTGGGGGAACCCCTAGGCCAGACTCTCCCTAGCTCCGTACAGGTGCAAATTCAGTACTGCCCCAAACATTCCTGAACATCAACATCTTTCAGAACCCCAGTTAGCCCAACACACCAGTCCAGCCCCAGCCTTAGCATATATGCCACTTATCAACACCCCCAAACCTGCACCAACCCCAAATCCAGGCCTAGGTCCCAGCGTCAGCCAGTCTTAGCACCATCACCACCTCCATGTCCATCCAAACTCAGCATCACCAGGGTCGCCAAGGCTTGCTGGGATCTCCAGCCAAAAAGGCTGCTGGTTCAGCTCAAGGTCCAGCCCCCGTTCCTGGCAATGCTTTAACCTCAGCCGAGTCACCAGTCCCATCCTTGTCCCCAACCCCCAAGCCCGGACAACAGTGCCCATTTGGGTCCCAACCCCAAACCCCGCCCGACTGACTCCATCCTCCGCTGGGAGCCCAGAACCAGCCCCAGCCCCGGCGCGCGCGCCAGCCTCGGAGCTGCATTGCGGAGCGCGGGGGAGAGGCGGAAAAGGACCGAACAGGCGAGCGCGCGCCGGCCCTGAGAGGACCCACGACCACCCAGCCGCAATGCGGTGCGGGACCCGCCCTGCAGGCTTTGGGCTCCGGGACCCAGCCCTGCCTGCCTCTGAGCCGGGTACTCACAGTAGCCCCAACCCCAGGCTCCTGAGACTGCGGCCAGCAGGATGCAGAAGAGCCGGAGATGCATCTTGCAGGGCTGACGGGTCCTGGCGGCCGCCTCCCAGTGCCGACTCAGGCTAGGGATCCAGCTCCAGCTCCAGCTCCCCGGTCTCCTCCTGGGGTTTGTCGCGGATCGCTGCCGCTCTGC